GTGAAGGAAGGGCTCCTGCCTAGGCTGAGCACCACCCACCCATGAGGCTGGGGCGACTGGATGGCCAGACCCATGCATGTCCTGAGAAGCCAGGCCCAGGGGCCTCCTGGGACACAAGCCTGGCAGACATCCAGGCTGCAAGGCTAGCCTAGGGAGCAAGAAGAGCAGTCCCAAAAGTCCAGGACTTCAGCCCAGCCACCTGCTTCCCACCGCAAAGAATGCTTCCCACCGCAAAGCCCAGCCACCTGCTTCCCACCGAATCCTGGGGGAGACAGAGGGCAGGCGGGGCCCCCCTTTCCCTGTAGTTACCCACACAGGAGTGCCAAGACAGCACGTGGGCCACCCAGTCTGGGCTGTGCAGGGCTGCCACGTGGCAGAGGATCTGATTTGACCTGGGAGCAGGTGTTGTTCTCCCCGCTGGCAGGCTGCCCAAGAAGGAAGCCCTGGGGTGGGTAAACTGTCACCTGAGCGGGTGCCCTTCAGAGCATCCCCCAGGAGGGAGCCAGCCCCACCCTAGGAGGAGCACCCTCCACCTGCTATGCAGCCAGCCCTAGCCCCAAGCCCGGGTGTGCCAGCTCCACCCTATCACATTCCTGTCCCATAGAGAGATTCCTATCAGCCAGAAAATGCAGGCACACCCTCACACCTGTGCATGCCCCCACACCGTGTGCCCTGCCCTCCAAGCCCTGCTGCCACCTGCTCAGTGCTCACTCTGCCTGCTGACCGCTGTCAGAGGCAATGGGCCTGAAAAAAGAGAAAGAGTGGCCCTTTTGAAGTAGTAGCTTGGGCCCTGGGCAAGTTTAGTGGGCCTCTGGAAGCTAGATGCGCCCCCCAAGAGCCCAGGAAGAGACTGGCTTTCTCCACTCGAGTGGAGGAGAAAGGCGTTCCTGGTAGGGCCTGAGCGAGAAGAAGGAAGCCAAGAGGCCACGTAGGAGATGGGGAAAGGAGGAGGCCGGGGCCCACAGCGCCTGTGCTAAGTAACTGCCTGGCCAGCAGCCACAGGCACCGGCCCTCACCCCGGGGGCCTGGCTAGTCCTTGGCACAACCCAGACCATTCCTAGCCCCTGCTTCGTGCCAGGGAAGGTGGGGTCTAACGTGGCATGTTTGGATTCCAGTGGCCCCTCGCTTCCCCTCTCTCCCCCACCATGTATTGGAAGGAAAAGGAGACACCACCCCTCCCCACAAGCTCACCCTCCCACGTGATGTGGCTTCACCGGACATGGGGCACGGGGCCATGGCCTGGGTCATCCCTCACAGCCAGTCTCATGTCCGCACAGAGAGAGAGGAGCTGGCCGGAGTGGCCGAGGGCCCTAGCTTCCAACCCCAGGAGCCGCGACAGAGCCAGCAGTTGAAGCCGGCCCCCACGGGACCCCCGGCAGAGCCTCCCTGCTGGCCGGTGGAGACTGCCCCCCAGACGGGACCAGAGCCCACCTGCAGCCAAGGTAAGGTGAACCACAGACAGCCCAGGGCCAGCAGCTGCATTGTCACCCCATGGCAAGCAGGGGAAGCCTCCTGGAGGAGGAGGCAGCAGCATCTGGTGGGATGGGGGGGTGTGGGCAGGGGTGAGGGGAAGGCTGCAGAGTCCCACAGGTCTGCTGCAGTGCCAGGGCCTGGGAGAAGGGCCCCGGAACCTCTTTCCCCAGCCCTGGCTTTACAGAGTGCGGCCTCACGCAGGCGTGGGTAGGGAGGAGCTTGGGCCCCGTGCCCGGGGCTCGTCAGCAGGCAGGCGGACAGGGTGGCCAGCTTGGGCTGGGCCAGACAAACATCCCCTTTCCCACCACCAGTTGGCCTGATAGCTAGGCCCCTTGGGACCCCCAGCTCGGGCCTCTTCCCTCCCCCACCCCACCAGCCACTAGGGACAGTGGGAGTGTCTCCAGGCCTGTGGGGACCCAGCACGGGCTCTGAGTCAAACCACACTCCTTTTACAGTCATAGGGCTGTGGAGGAATGCAGGGCCGGCCAGGCACTCCCGGCTCACACAGCAGCCCCGAGATTGGCCACAACCTGCAGCGCCCCCTGTCCAGGCATCTCCTGGCCTCGTTCACTCGCCCGCCCTGGGGGCCAGCTCAGTGTCCATCCTAGGACCCTCAAGGGTGGGGGGCATGCAGCAGGGCTGTGGCTAAGGCCCAAGCTGGTCAAGGGCTGGTCCAGCTCGGAAGACCATGAGCGAGGCTGGCTCATTCTCTTGAGGTCTCCCCCCACACAGCCGCCTGCTCCAAGGTGCCCAGCAGTGGGAACACCCAGCCACCTGAGGGCCACACAAATAAGACCGAGCCGTGCCGAGCCAGGGCACGACTCTTGCCCAACATGCCGAAGCTGGTCATCCCCTCGGCTGCCACCAAGTTCCCCCCGGAGATCACTGTCACACCGCCCACCCCAACCCTGCTCTCCCCAAAAGGCAGCATCTCCGAGGAGACCAAGCAGAAGCTGAAGGTGACTCTGACTGTAGGGGCAGGGGAGGTTTGCAGGGTACAGGGGTGGGGGAAGGGGGTAGGACCAGGGCAGCCCTGACCACCGGCTGCTCTGCCCTGCTCATGCACAGTCGGCCATCCTGTCCGCCCAGTCGGCTGCCAACGTGCGGAAGGAGAGCCTGTGCCAGCCGGCCCTGGAGGTTCTGGAAACATCCAGCCAGGAGTCCTCGCTGGAGAGTGAGACAGATGAGGATGATGACTGCATGGACCTGTGAGGGCCGCGCGCCCTGTCCTGTGAAATGGCCGTTGGCCTCGTGAACCCGGTGCCCCCGTCCATGCCCACACCCCACACTCCATCCCACAACCCACCCCTTTTGTTTGTTTGTTTTGTTTCTTTTCTAATAAAGATGAAACAGTTGTCTTGGCCTCTGTTTATGGAGGGTCCAGCATGGGAGGGCTGTGTGCAGGGCTGGGGAGCCCCACTCCACTCCCGGTGAGGTACCGTGGAGGAGGGGCGGCTGTTCTGGCTCGCCTCACCCAGCCCTGTCCAGCTGTGGGACAAGCGCCTCAGCCTGTGGGCCCCGAGCCCACAACGAAGACACACAAGGGAGAGAATGACCCAGATCCCTGGAAGCGGAGGCGCCAGAGCTAGATGGGACCCAGCTGGACCTGCCTCGCCAGCCCCCAGATCCTACCCCTGGGAGCAGAACCACAGCCAGCCCGCACACCCAGCGCTCCCTGCTCCTCTTCTGTCGATGCTCAGATCCAGAACTAGGAAGCTAACTCTGATACCCCAAGCCCGGGGTGGGGCCCAGGACTGGCCTAGCCCTCAGGTGGCCCACCTAGGTTCTCTTTTTTTGGAGGGGTGTCCCTGTAGTGTCTTCAATGGGGTGCAGAGCCGCTCTGTGCAGGGGGCGCTTGGGAGCCCCTGGGCCTGGTTCGGAACCTCTAACACACACATACCCCTCAGGAGCTGGCCTCGGTCCCACATCCAGCTCCCCAGCTGGCTTCCCCCTTCTCCCTGCCCCCCACCTGCCTAGCGGCTGCAGGCACAGCTAATGAGCTGAGCCCATCTCTGCCATCCATGACCATCTCCAAGGCCACAGTGAGAGCAGAAGTGAAGTTTGACAGAAGTAAGCAGAAGGAGCTCCAGGCCCAGCGCAGTAGCCTAGTGGCTAAAGTCCTCGCCTTGCACACACCAAGACACCATGTGGGTGCCAGTTCGTGTTCAGTGGCCCCACTTCCCATCCAGCTCCCTGCTTGTGGCCTGGGAAAGCAGTCGAGGACAGCCCAAAACCTTGGGACCCTGTATCCGCGTGGGAGACCCGGAAGAGGCTCCAGGATCCTGACTGAATCAGCTCAGCTCTGGCCATTGCGGCCATTTGGGGAGTGGACCAACTGATAAAAGATCTTCCAGTGTCTCCTCTGGCTCTCCTCTCTGTATATGTGACTTTCCAATGAAATTTTTTCTTACAAACCTTTAAAAAGAATTATTTCAAAATAAAGAAGCAGCAGCAGCAGCAGCTCCAGATGACAAGATTGGAGCGGCTGTGGCCAGAGACCCAGCCAGGAATAAAGCAGTGGTTACACATTCCTACAGGCGTCCTTCACTGAGCGCTGGCTAGTTTGCATCGAAACCTAGATCTTGTCATCATTGATAAGGATTTGTTACAAGGAGTTCCCATCTTGGATTTCTCTCTCTTTTTTTTTTTAGTTTAGTTACAGGGAGGAGTGAGATAAAGGGCATTTTCTGTCTTCCACCTGCTCATTCACTCCCCAAACCAGGAGCTTCTTCCAGGTCTCCGGTGGCCAGCTTCCGCAGGTGCCATGGGGGTGGGGGGGAGTAGAGCAGCCGGAAGAAGAATCGGCACCTACACGGGACGCCAGGGCACCGGGCAGTGGCTTCATTTGCTATGCCACAGCGCCACCGTGGTATCTGTGTGGCCTTCACCTGGTGTGCTTTTTTGAGTTCCAGGCGTGTCCTCTGAGACCCAGCTGGGCTCCAGCACTTCCCTGCCTAATCCCTTCCTCCCTTTGAAGGAGCCTCTGGCCCTGGGCTCAGCCAGGATCGCCCTCCTCCTCCTCCTCTTCCTGCCTGGGAGGTGCTCCTTGCCCTGCCAGGCTGCGAGGAGGCAGTTAACAGGGTCAGAGCTTAGAATCCCAGGTGCTACAGGCGAGGACAGCCCACCGCACCAGCCCTGCCCTGCCCTGCCCTGCCCTGCCCCACCCTGGGGGCGCCGAGTCAGAACCAAATTTCAAAACGATTGCCTCTGGACATCCCGCTTATCACACGCCAGAGACGCAGTTTCCCTTCCCTCTCCCTCCAGGGCCCATCCATCCCTCTCCACCCTCCACCCCCACCCCCACGTCCACTCCCAGTGCTCCCAGCTGGTGGGCCAGGAATGTGCTAACGGGGCAGGTTGGACTGCAGCAGGTTCACCCCTGCGGCACCTGCGGACTTTGAGAGGGAACCCGGCGAGGGGCGGGCCGGGGCGGGGCCGCCGAGCGCGGGGCGGGGCGAGGCTGGCAAAGACCCGAGCTCGTCCCGCCGCCTGTCCAAGCCACTGCAGCTGCGACCACTGGCCGGGCCATGAAGCCGGCTCTCCTGCCCTGGACTCTGCGGCTACTGCTGCTCCTGGCGTCGACCCCCGGCCCAGGACCCAGGCCGGTAGCAGGTAAGTTCTCTCCTGTATACCCTGCCTACCGCTGTCTGCCAGCTTTGCAGCTGCATTCTGTCCATCTGTTGATCAAGCCAGGGGTTGGGGTGAGAGGTGGGGGAAAGGAATTTTCTGAGAGTCCACGGTGCTTCTGGCCAGGAGGAGAATTCTTCCTGGGCTGGGCTGCTGCTGTGGGAGAGCTTCAAGAGAGGGAGGGAGAGTGAGAGGGGGGTGCCGGGAGAGAGAGAGAGAGAGATGGAGCTGATGAAGGCAGGTCCCTCGAGCCCCAGTACAGGATGTGATGTTACAAGGGGAACCCCACGCTGGGCTGTCCATTGGCAGGGGAGTGGAGCAGACCGTGGGAAAGTCTGAGAGGGGGTCGAGATTGCAAAGCAGAGGGTGGTCCCAGCTCCCTAGGCCCCTAACCCCTTCTGGGTTGTGTGTAACCAACCCCTAAGCCCTATTCTCCTCCTCTTCCTCGTCCTCGCCCCCTGGCCACTGTCCCTCACTCCCATCCCTGTCCCTTCCACCACACTTCCCGCACCTCTCTGAGCTGTCACATCCTGAAACCAATAAATATTTATTGATGCTCCTGAGTGCTGAGCCATGCACTTGGCCAAGCCAGGACAGGGACCGGCTTCCCCTGGCAAGACTTGTACTGGGGCTGGAGGCAGGGCGGGTTGGGGGAAATACATAGCCCGTTCAGAGAGCCAGGCATGCATGCGCACCACCTCGTGGGCCCCGCTTGCCCACCAAGATGAGGCTGTCTTTGTGGGAGAGGGTTCAGCCATGGGGATGGGGAGGGTCAAGTTCACCTCCATGGAGTTCACACGGGATTCGTAACATCCCATCCCCAAGCGAAGCAAGGGGATCCTCCTCCATGCTGCAGAATGCCTCGGGGGGTCCACATTTGTGCCCAAACCTATGTCAAAATCTCAGACCCCCCGGCTGTGGGCTACTGGTACCCACGGCTCTCGCCCCATATGCAGTGGTGGCCAGTGCAATTTCCAACCAGCGTTTCTGTGTGTGTGTGTGTGTGTGTGTGTGTGTGTGTGTGTATTGGGGTGTTATTTCCCTCCACCTCTCCCACTAGCCCAGAACAGCTGCTCCCTGCGCTGTGGGGACCAGAATGGATCCTGTTCCTGCCACCCGACCTGCTCCGGCCTGGGCACCTGCTGCACCGATTTCCAGGACTTCTGTCTGAAGATTACCCCGTACTCGGGCTCCCTGATGGGCGGCAAGGACTTCGTGGTGCAGCATCTCACGTGGCCTGGCCCTGCAGATAGCGTGATCTGCAGGTGAGAAGCAAAAAGGATCCTCCCCCCGGCCACCCATACACACACACACACCCCAATCCCTGTGCCTGCCCAGAGGGTCCCATGCCAGCTGGTGTGGATGAGGGTGCATGGGGCAGGTTCCTGGCAAGCAGGAGGCCAGAGGGAGAGCTTGCTGGATGGATTCCCCATCCCAGGGAGCCACCTGTGCATCTTGGGCCCCTACCTCAGGTTCAAAGACAGCATCGATACCTTGGGCCACGTGGACTCATCTGGACAGGTGCACTGTGTGTCACCCCTGCTGTATGAGAGCGGATATATCCCCTTCAACATCTCCATGGATGGTGGCATCTCCTTCCCTCGGTCGGGCACTTGGCTGTCCGGTGAGCTCTCTGCCTCCCACTCCGCTCTCTGTGCCCGGCCCTGCGCTCATATTGTAGGCTCATGGGGACTTCCCCCAGTACATAATCTATGCACACCGAGATCGGGCCCGCCCACCTACTGCTCTGGCTGAACCAGTCCCATAGCCGCAACCGATGGCACCCAGACTGGAATCTCAGCTTGGGCATCCTCCTCCAAGGACTGTTCTTGGGTGCCTTGGTCCCTTAGCTGCTGTGACGCTTTATTCCAGGGGCAGCCCACACACCCCAGATGTTGGCCAAGCCCTCCTTCATTCCCCCCACCCTACTCTGAACCCTGTAGTGCACCAAAACAAAGTGTCAGATGCGGAGAAGGCCCAACTGGTCAACGAGACGCGCTGGCAGTACTACGGCACCGCGGGTACCACGGGCACTCTCAGCCTGACCTGGGACAGCACGGTGCTGTCCACGCCGTTCGTTCGCATCGAACTCTGGGGCTACGATGAGACGGGTAAGGCCTCTGCTCCAGCAGCCACCAGGACAGAACGGGACAATGTGGAGATGAGGGCGGATGTCCACATGGGAGGCTCCGTCCAGGGGAGGTTAGGAGAGAAACAATCCCGTTGGGATCAAGGATCAGGGGATCAACAAGTACAGGCAATGGAAAGGAACCGCTCCCAGAACACTCGATCCAGCTCTAAGCAGGTCCCTGCTGGACCAGCCAGGGCACCCTTGTCCCTCAGCCCGCATGTCCATCATCTGTCACATTGGCCCTGTCCTGGCCTCTGGAGCGCCTGATGGAAGTCTCTTGCTCTCTCAGGGACCCCCTACTCTGACAACTGGGTTGCAGAGTGGTCCTACCTATACCCACTGGCTACCAATGTTGCCAACTCGGGCTCCTTCACCTTCACCCCGACGCCTGCACTTCCCACCTACCAGCGATGGAAGATTGGAGCGCTGAGGATCACCTCCAGCCAAAATGCTGAGGGACAGAAGTGAGCGAGGGTGGCTGGCTGGGGGTGGGGCATGCTGTGGCTCTGCCCACAGCTGGCAGCTCCATTGCTCTCCTGTGATGCAGGAACGTGCAGGCCATCTGGACCAACGACCACGCGCTGGCCTGGCATCTGGAAGAGGACTTCCGGAGGGACCCAGTGGGCTGGGCCCACCAGCAGTGCCTGGCCTGGGAGCAGGTGGACGACGAAATGCCCAACTTCTTGCAGGAGCTGCCCGACTGCCCATGTACGCTGGCCCAGGCACGGGCTGACACCGGCCGCTTCCACGTAAGCCCCCCACTGCTTCCCCACCAGGGCCCTGCTGGGGTTGGGGACAGGAGGGAGAGCAGGGCAGGATGCAGAGGGGACCACCCGCTCCCCGGCCCTGCAGGGCTAGCAGATCCCAAGCCCTGTGGGTGACCTTACAGACAGACTACGGCTGTGACATCGAGCATGGTAGTGTATGCACGTACCACCCAGGCGCCGTGCACTGTGTGCGCTCCGTGCAGGCCAGGTGAGCCCCCTACCCACCCAAGACCACCAGGACCCCAGGGTTGGGAAACAGTGGGTCAGTCCTGAGGTGACCCTGACTTGTCTGCCCCACAAGCCCCCGCTACGGCTCGGGCCAGCAATGTTGCTACATAGCAGACGGCACACAACTCCTGACGGCGGATTCGACCAGCGGCAGCACCCCAGACCGTGGCCACGACTGGGGTGCACCCCCCTACCGCCAGCCACCGCGTATACCCGGCTTGTCACACTGGTCCTATGATGTGATCAGCTTCTACTACTGCTGCCTCTGGGCGCCAGAGTGCCACCGCTACATGCAGCGGCGACCATCCAGCGACTGCCACACCTACAGGCCCCCACGAGTGGGTGGGTGCTGCTGCCGGCCTGGGTTAGAGGGGCAGGACCGAGCGGGAGCGGTGCCCGAGATAAGCACCTCCTGTAACCTCTCCCCTTCTCTGCCATTGTCATCGTCCCCAGCCTCCGCCTTTGGCGACCCGCACTTTGTCACCTTCGACGGCACCAGCTTCACCTTTAATGGACGTGGCGAGTACGTGCTGATGGAGGCATCAACGACCAAGCTGAGGGTGCAGGCCCGGGCCCAGCCAGGGACCATGTCCGACGGTGAGTCTGGGATCTCCTATCTGATGGAGGAGGCTCTGGCGATCGGACAGCTCAGGGTCAAACAGGGCTGGAAGCAAGAGGATTTCACACGCACACACATACACACACACTCACCCATTCCGCACCTGCTGCTTCCCCAGGAACAATGGCTCGGGCCACGGGGCTGACTTCGGTGGCCGTCCAGGAGCAAGACTCGGATGTGGTGGAGGTGCGCCTGGCCGAGGGCACCGGGGTCCTGCAAGTGCTGCTCAACCAGGAGGTGCTGAGCTTTGCTGAACAGAACTGGTTGGACCTAAAGGGTGAGCGGCCGGGCCAGGCCAGCGGGCTGCATGCAGAGGGCCGGGGGAGCCTGCAGTGACCAGCCAGCGAGGTGGCATCCGAGGGGTTGAGGCTCACAACCCAGGAGTCTGCTCTGGGTTCACGGGACTAGAGGGAGAGGCAGGCCTATTGGAGGTCTTCAGGCCATCCACCATGGCCTAAGGTTCATCTTCACCCATGTCTGCACTTGCATCATGCCCATGGGGGCAGACGCCTGGGACCCACTCAGCCAAGGACCCCTTCAAGTCCCAGCAGCTCTGAGATTATAAGTCGGATGCCCAGGGGGAGATGCACGGGGTCTAGGGGTACAGAAGCATGGGACATGGCAGGGGCAGGTGACCGTGACTGCCACGTCCAGGGGCTGGGCACCCCACAGGCTCATCATCGGGCTGCGGCTGGGAGGAGGAGGTGGGGACAAAGTGTCGCGTTCAGACGCAGGGCCGGTCTTCACCTGTTCACCCCCTGCGCACTGGCCTCCTGTTCCAGGCATGTTCCTCTCGGTGGCCGCCAGTGACAAGGTGTCTATCATGCTGGCCTCGGGGGCCGGCCTGGAGGTGGCCGTGCAGGGCCCCTTCCTGAGCGTGTCGGTGCTGCTGCCCGAGTCCTTCGTGAGTCACACCCGCGGCCTCCTGGGGACACTCAACGGAGACTCCAGCGACGACTTCACCCTACGCAACGGGCAGGTGCTGCCCCCAAGCGCCAGCGCCGAGCAACTGCTGCAGTTTGGCGCCGACTGTGAGTGAGCCCAGTGCGGTGGTGGGGTCGGGTGGGGTGACTGCCGTCCAAGGAGAGAGCACCCCTCCTGCATGCTCCCTACCCTGACCTCGCCTCCCCCTGCAGGGGCCGTGGACAACACGTCCTCTCTGCTCACCTACGACTCCCAGTTCCTGGTGCAGAACTTCCTGGAGCGCCCCAAGCACGACCCTGACTTCAGACCCCTCTTCCCTAACGAAACCACCCTCAGCCCTGGCCAGGCGGAAGAGGTGACCAGGCTGTGCGGTGACGACCAGTTCTGCCGCTTTGACGTGCTGGCCACCGGGAGCCTGAGCGTGGGCAACGCCACGCAGGCTGCCCACCAGCAGCACTGGTCTCTGGTGCAAAGCCTGCAGCCTGGTGAGCTGTGGGGAGGGCAGGGGCAGGGCCATGCTGACAGGGGATGGCCAGCTCTGACCTGTCGTCTGTCCCCTCGTCCTTGTCCCTGTTTTCAGTGGTCACCTGCGGCTGGCTGGCCCCTCCTGCCAACGGGAGCAAGGAGGGCATGAGGTACACCCTGGGCTCTACTGTCCACTTCAGCTGCAACAACGGCTTCAGCCTCGCCGGGGCCCAGAGCAGCACCTGCCAGGCTGATGGCACCTGGTCCGCACCCACGCCCGAGTGCCAGCAGACAGGTGAGAATGCCATCCACGTGCATACTGCCCCTGCCCCATTTCCCCTCGACCCCTGACCCCTGCCCTGGCCCACTCTGCCATCGTCTCCCCTCCCAAGGGCGGAGCTACACTGTGCTGCTAAGTGTCATCTTCGGAAGCCTGGGCGTGGTGGCCGTGGTGATCCTGGTCTACCTGCTGCTACGCCATAGGAAGGGCGGCATGTGAGACCCCAGGCGGACCCTTGGGTGAAGGTGGAAGAGAGGAGGGACGGTGGGGTCCCTGCCATCCTCTGCACCTGCTCCAGTTCTTCCCTGCTTTGTAGGAAAATGTGGTCTTCGCAGCCCTGAGGAAGAAGAGGAGGAGGAGGAAGGAGGCCTCCCAGGAGAAAGCATGGGCACCCAGGACTTGGGGACTGAGGACACTGCCTCCCCCAACCCCACTCTCATTTCAGACTGCAGGCTTCAGGCCTGGTGTCCTGGAGCGGCTGAGTCAGACCCACCCTACCCTGACCCTTGCCCCGCCCCACCATCCCTTCCCACCCCTCCCCTCCTATGCTGTGTTCACCCCAGGACCTCGGAGCCAGGAATTCAGTGACCATGACCCGCCCCAGGCTGCGATCTCATTCACTCCCTGTGGGCCCTGATATACTGGATCTGCAGGCCACCCCCTCCCCCATCGCCCTCCCCTCCACCCCAAGCTGAGCTGCCTTGATGGGTGCAAACGGACACCCCCCCAACACATGGTCCAAAGTCCCAGAGCAGGAGTGGGGGGAGAGAACTCCACCCCCACACTCCGCCAAAGGGGCGAAGCGGGGCTCCTATTGCAACACTGATTGGAGTCCCTAAGTCCCTCCTCAGGCGCCTGGGCCGACTGGCTGAGGATGGTTCGAGGTCTTGGTACCTTGCCGTCTATGCTGGCTGGAGACTGTGATGGATGGAGTTCCTTTCAATAAAATTAAAAGAACTTTAATAAGAAGTATAATCCTCCCTGCCTCAAAAATTGTGATCGTGAACAGCGACTCCTCCTGGCACAGAAGAGGGCTTAGCCAGGCATGGGGTGGTGAGGCGGGTGGTTGCCGCACTGGGGTGCATGGGCGTGAAGTTTGCCCCCCCGAGCCCCCAGAAGGAGATGGGTCCCAAGGCTGACTACGGATGGAGGACACTTGATAGCAGGTGTGCCTGCAGTGCCAAGGATGTACACGCGGGGGCAGCAGAGGGCAGGAGCAGCGGGCAGGCCTTTGGCTCCTGCTCCAGGGCCAGCATCCCGGCTGGGATTGTTACCTCTCACCTAGGGGAAGGGGAGAGCAGGGGGGCCTCGTGCAGTCACACCCCATCCCTCAGACCCAGCCAAGAATGCCGGCCTCCCACCTGACTAGCCTTGCCCTTGGTAAATAAGCCACAGGCGAGCTAGATGCCGGCGGGGTGGGGGAAGGTCCCATCTGGAGGGCTTCCTGAAGGAGTGTGTATTCCAGGGTATGCATGAGATAAGAGTGGGGTGTGGGTCAGGAAGGGCCCAGGGCTGGTGCTTCCTGTCTGCTCACCCCACCCTCCCATACCAGCTCCAGGCAAGGTGGAGCTAATAAGGACTGGCCTCTTGGCCACCAGGAAACATACTTTTCCTCTGTGCAGATGATCTAAGGCGAAGGTTGGCCTTCCCCATTCCCCAGGGTCCCTTGGCTATCCCTGTGCCCAGCCAGGCCATGTGAGCCCCTTTCAGTGGAACAGAGGTCAGCTACCTGGTCTGGGTAGGCATGGCACGGAGGGGGTGCAGTGGGAAGGGATGGCTAATGGACTTGACAGCTCCGTCCAGCACCCAGACCTCCCAGCCGCCCACTGAGGTCCAAGGACGGGCTGGATTCTCGCCTCAGATGGACTGGAAGGGAGAGGAACGGACTGAGCGAAGGTTCAGAGGGAGAGATCTGTACTCGTGATGGCAGGACTTGGGGAGTGCCCGTGGGGTTACGTCCCCGGGACTTCGTCCTGGGTACCGCATCTCAGGCCGCCCCTCCACCACCAACCACCACATCTGTGCCTCCTGCCAGGATGGCTCTAGGGCATTCCACCTCCAACCCCCACCCCCTCTGCAGCCTCCCCTCCCTGGCTGGAGATGGGGTGCCCTGGCCCCAGCCAGCAGATGTTCCTGGTGCCAGGGGCAAGCCGGACTGGGAAGCCCCACCACCTGACTGAGGCTATGACCCTGGGCTGAGACAGAAGGTCCCCAGAGGCCACCAAATGAGGGGGGAAGGGGAGCATCCCTTCCACAGGGCAGCACCCCCAGGGCTTGGCCCACAGGTGATTGAATGAGAGAACAGTGAGGTGGAAGCGACAAAACCAAGAACCACACGGCCTGTCCCCCCCACCCTGCAGTGCCAGCCGGGTCCCAGGGAAAGCAGGTGATGCCAGGAGACAACACTGCCTGGCGAGGCGGGGGAAGGGCAGAGCGGGCACCTGCTCCAGGAGCCAGAGCCCCATGAAGTGGGGACACGCAGGTTCCTTGGCCTCAGACTCCCACACCCTACCTCCTGTGCTGCCCCCCTACCTTCTGACCCCCAGGGCCTCCATCTGCAAGCAAGTGGCTGGCTCAGGGAAAGGCACAGCAGGGAACTGCTGTGTGCACACACTCACACAGTCAGTTTGGTTCCTTATGCAAGCTGCGGGGTAGCCAGGTGCCACCGTGAGCCAGACCTCTGCTGGGACCTGCTAGGAGACCCCCATGCATGGCAGGAGGGGCTGGTCCAGGCTGTGACGTCCATGGGTTTGAGGAGAGTCCGTGGGACAACCTGGAGGATAGTGACCATGGGAGCCACGGGTCTCTGCTAGGTCCACAGCCTGGGGAAGCATCCCCCACTGTCCCCATAGCCCTCTCACTCGAGCCACCTTGCAGAAACAGGAAGTGGGTGGCAGGCACTGTGCACCAGTGGGCTGGCATTCCTCGTGGGACAGCCACATGTCCCCTCCCACAGCAGGACCTGCTCTGCTTCCGATCCAGTTCCCTGCATATGCACCTGGGGAAGCAGCAGAGACCTGTCCCCTCTGTGGGACATCCGGATGGAGCTGCAGGATCCTGGCTGCAGCCCAGCTCAGCCCTGGCCTTGGTAGCCATTTGGGAAGTGGAGCAGTGGATAGAAACTTTCTCTCTCATTGACACTTAGCATTTCAAAACTAAATTCTAGGGGCTGGCACGGTAGCCTAGTGGCTAAAGTCCTCACCTTGCTGTGCCGGAATCCCATATGGGTGATGGTTCGTGTCCCAGCAGCCCCGCTTCCCATCCAGCTCCCTGCTTGTGGCCCAGGAAAGCAGTCGAGGACGGCCCAAAGCCTTGGAACCCTGCACCTGTGACTTGGGGATTAAATCAGCAGATGGAAGATCTTCCTCTCTGTCTCTCCTTCTCTCTGTAAATCTGATCTGCCTATAAATATAAGTCAAAATAAATTTAAAAAAACAAATAAAATTTTTAATGTAAAAGAAACACAACAAAATCAGCCATCAGAAACTTGGAGATGAAGGGTATTTCTCAGGCTTCTTGTAATAAAAATGTGCGCGCGTGGACAGCCGCGGGCAGATGTGAAGCCATGGAGCCTGGGGACAATTTCACAGGCAAAAATAGACATGACATCAACTGTTTTGAAACACTTGTCTTCAGCCACAATGATTAACAACTAGGGGGCTGATACAAGCAGCCGGGTAGATGTGTTTGCAGAGAAACTTAAATAGATAAATAAAACAATGGATTTCATTTATTTGAAACTCAGAGAAAAAGAGAATCTTGCATTCCCTGCGACGGCCAGGACTCGGTCATTCCAGGAACCAGGAACATTCATTGGTTCTCCCACTTTGGGTCCTTGTACCCAAAAAACTTGGGCCCTTATCTGCTATGATCCGTTAGCACGGAACTAGATCCCAAATGGAGCAGCCAGGACTCAGACCTGTGCCCTTGTGGGATGTTGGTGTCTCAGGGGTTGGCTTAATTCGCTACACTACAATGCCTGCCCCAAACGGTGGCCTCTGTAGCTAACCGTGACCTTGGTATGTAGTGGGACTCATCCGGACTATTGTGTCTGTCCTCCTCTCCGTATATCTGACTTTGCAGTAAACACAAATAAATCTTTTTTAAAAATATTTTTTTATTGGAAAGTTGGATAGACAGGGAGGAAGATCTGCCATCTGCGGATTCACTCCCCAAGTGGCCACAATGGCTGGAGCTAAACCAATCCCAAGCCAGGAGCCTGGAGCTTCTTCCACGCGGGTGCAGGGTCCCAAGGCTTTGGGCTGTCCTCGACTGCTTCCCCAGGCCACAGGCAGGGAGCTGGATGGGTGTCACGGCCCAGACAATAGAAAATGGTGACAGTAAGACTAGGACTTCTGGAACATGTCCAGAACCTGATCTTTGCTATGACCTTGGATTCTTGAAAGTCCCGAAAGGGCAGTGAGAGGGTGTGTTACAAGATAGTCTCATTCCAGGGTGAGATCTTACTTTTCTTTTACAGTTCAGGCGATGAGCTGATTGCCCCAAATTGTTTTCTGTAAATAGAATTGCAAGGTCTTGTTTGCCTGGTTCTGCTGTTCACTGCTAGGTGGGCTGTGACTTATGGACTGGATAAAGTACAGGATGCTTAAACTGGGTATCTGTTCTCACGGCATTACAGTTCATTGGATCATTTGTAGTGTGCACTGATGCGATTTTGGTTGACTGCCTGGCATCATGTGCCAGAGCTCTTAGCTCATGGGATGGTCATTGCTTACGGACCCCTGAACACAGCTGATGGGGCTGCTCCTCGCTTCCACGTGGAGTGGAATGTGGCAGGCCACTGGTCGCCACCAGCCAGTGAACAGAGACTCCCGAACTTGTAAGAGTCTGCCTCCAGCTCATTTCTGGCAGTTAGTCAACTAACTAGTCAACTAGTTAGTTAGTCAACTAACTAGAGCTAGTTAGTCAACTCGCAACACGGGAGTTAAAGCAGCTTGGGACACAAACCAGTACCCATATACGCGCACACAAGGGGAGGATTTAGCCATTGAACCGTTGCACCAAGCCCACCCTTTTAACATCTTAAAGGTAAGAGACACACCAAGTGATCTTGCAACTGCTGGTTCACTGCCCCAAGGGAGAGAAGCCTGGAGCTCCGTCCTGGTTGGTCACGTGGTGGCAAGGACCCCCGGGGATTTAGCCTGTTTCCCAGGAGCACATCAGCAAGAAGCTAGATGGGAAGTGGGTTCAAGATGTGAACCCAGCACCCTGATATGTGATTGTGGGCATTCCACGGGGAGGTGTAACCGCTGCCCCAGGCCTGCGCCTTAGTCAGCAGTGTGGTCAGGGTCAGCCCAGGTGACACTGTGAGGCCAGCAGCACTGTGGGCTTGTTCAGCCCCAGCTGGCTGTTCCCCTCCCGATCCAACTTGCTGACAACGTGCCTGGGAAAGCAGCAGAAGATGGCCCAAGTCCTTGGCTCCCACCATGCAGGTGGGAGACCCAGAGGGAGTTCCTGGCTCCTAGCTTCAGGCTAGCCCAGCTCCAGCTATTGTGGCCATTTGAGGAATGAGAGCTTAGAAGAGCTCTTTTCTCTCTTTGTCTTTCAAGTAAATACAATTATTTTTTAATAGTAAAAAAAAAATTCGAGATGTTATTATGTAAATGCTGGGCTATCACAAGGACTTGCTGCTATTTTAACCTGCATCTCCCCCACAATTCGCACTTGCTCTGGCCCTGCACATGGGCCGAAGGCTACCTCACTAGGTCACACGTTGGCGACCAGTGAATCGCCACACAGAACTGGATTGTCACTTTTCTTTGTACTTTTGTCCAATAGATTAAAAAAAAAAAAAAACATGGTTTAAGATTTATTATTTGAGGGCCCAGTGAGGTAGCCTAGCGGCTAAAGTCCTTGCCTTGCATGTGCTGGGATCCCATATGGGAGCCAATTCATATCCTGGCTGTGTCACTTCCCATCCAGCTCTCTGCCTGTGGCCTGGGAAAGCAGCTGAGGACAGCCCAAAGCCTTGGGACCCTGCACCCGCTTGGGAGACTCAGTGGAAGCTCCTGGCTCCTGGTTTCGGGTTGGCTCAGTTCTGACCATTGTGGCCACTTGGGGAGTGAATCAGCACATGGAAGATCTTCCTCTATCTCTTCTTCACTCTGCAAAATCTTTCTGGTAGAAATAAACAATAAATATTAAAAATAAATATTTATTTCTTTGAACAACAGAACAACCAAGAGAGAGTGTGAAAGATCTTCCATCTGCTGGTTCGCTCTCCAAAATGGCCACATTGTCCTGACCAGGGCCAACTCCGAAGCCAGGAGCCAGGAGCCTCTTCTTCTGGGTCTCCCATGTGGGTGCAGGGTCCCAAGGCTTTGGGCCGTCCTCAGCTGCTTTCCCAGGCCACAAGCAGGGAGCTGGATGGGAAGTGGAGCAGCCGGGACACGAACCAGTGCCCATGTGGGATCTCGGCGCTTGCAATGTGAGGAGTTAACTGCTGAGTCATCATGCCAGGCCTGAGCCAGGAACTTTTTATGGGTCTTCACACATGGCTGCAGGAGCCCAAGGACTTGGACCATCTTCTGCTGTCCTCCCAGACACATTAGCCAGGCGCTGGATCAGAAGTGGGGCAACCTGGATAGAAACTAGCGCCAGTATGGAATGCCGGGGTCTCAGGCAGCAGCTGAAAGAACAGCCCGGCAACACGGGCTCCTGCGTTAGCACTTTCCCTGTGCGCCTTGAGAAACATTTGCGTGCCCCAAAGTCGCGAAGCTGTGCCTGTTTTCCAGCAAATGCTTCGCTGCCAGTATCTGAGACCTGCAAGCCCTCTGGGATGGACTTTCACGCGTGGGGTGGGGTGGGGTCAAGGTACACCTCTTTTCTCGGGGACACTGGGGTGACTCAGCATCCTTACCCCCTGCACAGTGCGTCCCCGCGGTCGCAGCTTGATGAGTCCGTTCTGCCCCGGTGGCCGGTTGTTATTTCTCTTTGGCCCAGCGCCACCTTGCCCACGTGCTTGTCCTCCGTAGCTGCAACTCAAGTAAGACTTCCATTATGTTTCTTTCCCCCTCGAGGACGCCTGGGTTGCTTGTGGCCCTTGGAGACTCCCCTGTGAATTTTAGAACCAGCCTGCCAATTTCCACCAATTTTTTTTTTAATCAGCTCCACAATGTAATAAATTTCCATCTTCAGAGCCAGCCACCCATATGGTGCCACTTTGTGTTCTGGCTGCTTCTCTTCTGACCCAGCTCCCTGCTTGTGGCCTGGGAAGGCAGTCGAGGACAGTCCAAAGCCTTGGGATTCTGTACCGGCGTGGGAGACCCAGAAGAAACTCCAGGCTCCTGGCTTCAGTTCAGCTCAGCTCTGACCATTGTGGCCGTTTGGAAAGTGAACCAAGAGATGGAGGATCTTTCTCTCTGTGTAATTCTGCCTTTGTAATAAAAATAAATAAATCTTTTTAAAAGGGGAGAGAGGGTCTGACGCAATGGCCTAGCAGCGAAAGTCCTCGCTTGCACGCACCAGGATCCCATATGGGCACCAGTTCTAATCCCAGCAGCTCCACTTCCCATCCAGCTCCCTGCCTGTGGCCTGGGAAAGCAATCGAGGACGGCCCAAAGCCTTGAAACCCTGCACTCACATAGGAGACCTTGAAGAGGCTCCTGGGTCCTGGCTTCAGATCGGCTCAGCTCCGGGGAGTAAACCAGTAGATAGAAGATCTTCCTCTCTGTCTCTCCTCCTGTTTATCTGCCTTTCCAATCAAAATAAATATTTTTTAAATAAGGGAAGGAAAAAGAGAAAACCATGTTATCCTTGCTGCACACTGTGTTGAATCCACAAGCTCGGTGTTGGGGCCCAGTGGGTTAAACCGCCGCTTGAGGCGCATTCACCTCCTCTCAGTGAGAAGTTGGGCAACGTTCACTATTTTTCATTCTTTGGAAGTTTCTGCACTTGTTTTCTTCTTCTCCCTTCTGTGCTTGGAAGAACTTCATTGAGGAAGTCTTTTGGGCCAGGAGTTATTTGCTTTGTCCCTGCGGGATCATTGTCCCTGTTTCCATTGGTCATGCGTGAGGCTGAGCGAGCTTGCACACGGTGAAGCTAGTCTGTGGACACGTAAGCCGCTTCCTTGAGAAGATTGCTAAGAGACCTTTTATGTGAAAAAAATATGTATATACATATATACAATATTTTATTTATTTATTGGAAGGGTAGATTTGCAGAGCAAGGAGGAGAGACAGACAGAACCTCCATTGGGCTGGTTCACTGCCCAGAGGACCGCAGCATCTATGCTGGGTCAGTGTGAAGCCAGGAGCCTGGAGCTTCTTCAGGTACAGGGTACAGGGAGGAGGCTGCAGGGACAGACCCAGGCTTCCCAAGGTGGGCGCCTGGCCCTTGGCTCCCAGACCACATCCACAGCTTTTGGGGTTAGGGAACCTGCTCCTGCACGAGTCTCCCATCTGTGTTCCCACGCAGAGCACCCTTGGGTGTCAGGGGACTCGAAGCAGCTCCTCTTACCCCAGTCAAGGGGACAGTGCCAGCTCCCAGGCCCTCAGCCTGTCCCGGGGGGGTCACTCAGAACTCTATGTAAGTCGATGTCCACCCTCCCCTGGCTATGGCATTGGGCACAGCAGTGCCATCCGCTGAAAAGACTGGCCCACCCAGCGGCCTGGTGCCAAGGCAGCACTTAGGGAAGTAAATTAGTCTTCTGAAGATATGATTGGGACCCAGCATGACAGCGTTGCCTTGAACACGCCAGGATCCCATATGGGCATCGGTTCTAATCCCAGTGGTCCCACTTCCCATCCAGCTCCCTGCCTGTGGCCTGGGAAAGCAGTTGAGGACGGCCCAAAGCCTTGGGACCCTGCACCCGCATGGGAGACCCAGAAGAAGAGGCTCCTGGTTCCTGGCTTCAGATCAGTTCAGGTTTGGCCATTGTGGCCAAATTTGGGGAGTAACCATCGGACGGAAGATCTTCTTTTCTGTCTCTCCTCCGGTGAAAACTCTGCCTTTCCAATAAAAATAAATAAATCTTTAAAAAAATATACGATAGGGGTCAGCATTCCTTTATGAACACAGGTTCAAATCCCAGCTGCTTCTGTTTTTTGTTTGTTTTTTGTTTTGTTTTAAGATTTATTTGTTTATATTTGATAGAGTTCAAGAAAGAGGAGAGACACAGAGAGAGATTTTCCGTTCATTTGTTCACTCCCCAAATGGCCACAACGGCCAGAACTGGGCCAATTCAGACCCGGGAGCCAGGATCTTCTCCCACACGGGTGCAGGATCCCAAGGCTTTGGGCCATCCTCCACTGCTTTCCCAGGCCACAAGCAGGGAGCTGGATGGGAAATGAAACAGCCAGGACAGGAACAGACGCCCATAGGAGATCTTGGTGCTTGTAGGGAAAGAATTAAGCACTTGAGCCCTTGTGCCAGGCCCAGATTTACGTTTTTTAGTGGAAAGAATCCAGTAGACAGGCCACACCCCTGCCTTCTCTGCTCTTAGACGGAGGAGGAGTTTGAGCTGACTGCCAGTCTGGGAGTGATCTGGCTGAAGCCCCGATGTCCCCAAGCCTTGGTTCCCTGCTCTGCGTATCCTGCGGTGTGGTGGTACGCACACCAACGGGCCCTAACCAATCCCCTCTTCCCTTCCCATCACTGGCTGCCATCTGTCCTTCACTGCAGACTGGAGTCCGGCCTCCTCTTTAATCAGGGACTGCAAAATATACAGCTGGGGAGGGTGGCCAAGAGGTAAGGGGGCCAGGGCAGGGCCATAGGAAAGGGAGGGGCTGGGGAGGAACCCCTCCCACCCCACCCCCACCCCAAGGTTGTCCATCTGCCTGCCAGGCTGGTTCGGGTCTCTTCCAGTTTGCATGCAGTCCATGGCCACGTTCAGGATGGAGTCAGATCCCGGCTCCAGAGCATTCCTTGCCCGGGCAGTGCAGAAGGGCGTCTCCTCAGTAGCCCGCAGCCTCCCCACCCTTCCTGGAGTCCGACACGGCGTACACGCACGTCCCCTCCTGTGCCACAGCCTGGACCACGTTCAGGAAAAAGGGCCTCTGGCTCTGGCTGTGGCCACGCTCCTGCAGCCCCTTCTGCACCTCCTGTAAGTGAGCGGGAGGCAAGGAGGGGTTCAGGGGAAGGGGCTCTGGACTGTGAAAGTTTCTAGAAGGCTGAGCTCCAGGGCCCTCCCAACTTGAGGAAAGAATGTGCACATGGGTTGGAATCAAAATGGAGTCACTTGTGTCAAGTGGAGCTGGTCTGAAGGGCATGGGTGCGTGTGGAGGCTAATATGGCTGTCACGTATGCCAGAAGGCTATCGAGGGCCAGCTTGGGGAGGAGGGGAGTGAGGCTTGCCCTCTTCCTATCCAGCTCCCTGCTCACGCATCCGCAAGGCACTGTGATACGGCCCAAGTGCCTGTGACCCTGTACCTGCATGGGAGACCCGAATAAAGTTCCAGGCTCCTGGCTTTGGCCTGGCTGAGCCCTAGCCCCTGGGCCCATATGGGGATTGAAAAATATGTCTGTCTCTCCCTCTGACTCTGCCTTCCAACTAAAATAAGTGAATTTCAACAAAGAATGAAAGAGAACAGGGTCTGGCACTGTAGCCTAGTGGCTAAAGTCCTCGCCTTGAATGCGCCAGGATCCCGCATGGGCGCTGGTTCTAATTCCGGCAGCTCCACTTCCCATCCAGCTCCCTGCTTGTGGCCTGGGAAAGCAGTCAAGGATGGCCCAAGGCCTTGGGTGGGACCCTGTACCCGCGTGGGAGACCCGGGAGAGCTCCTGGCTTCTGGCTTCGGTTGGCTCAGCTCTAGCCTTTGTGGCCGCTTGGGGAGTGAACCATCAGACGGAAGATCTTCCTCTCTGTCTCTCCTCTCTGTATATCTGCCTTTCCAATAAAAAATAACTAAATTTTAAAAATACTAATTAAAAAAAGAGAACAGCACGCCGTGTCCTGTCTTGCACTGACATCACCCTCATTATCACTCAGATTGGCCAAAGCTTGTTATTCCAAAACAGCTGTTGCAATCAGCCTCATTCGTGCCTCCACCTCGCCCTCTCTGAAATGTCCAATGGAGTCAGACCCCCCAGAGACCATTCAGGCTGAAAACCTCTGGATCCCCACTCCAGGTCAGGGGGCGCCAAGCTCCTGAACTCCGTCGGTGTCCCAAGGGGCCCAAGGCAGGTCCCTGTCTCCGCAGTGTTGGCTTCCAAGAGGCTGCATCCTGGAAGGCAGGGAGCCACGTTTCTCAGGCTAGGTACCATGTTGGCACAGAAGCTTCTAGAAGCATCTCAGCCCTAGAAGCCACAGTGCTGAGAACTAGGGGCTCCTGTCCTAAGTCCCTGTAGGTGATAACACACAGCCTGCCCGCTGAGGTGGCTGGAGCCGTGACTTCTTGGGACAGAGGTGGGGGGGAGGCGGAGTGGCCTTGGGAGCGTACGTGGCCACGCTCATCACTGACCCACCCTCCCTGCAGCCGAGAGGTGGGAGGATGGGATCCCTTCTTGGAGACCTTAGGCCTCCCCCTCAGGATGGAGGGTTTTCCGCATAGAAAATTCTAGAATGTGCATCATTGACCAGAGTTCCAGATTGCAAGTTCTGGGTTCACTGCTTTGCCCTAGGCTCTTGCGGGTCATCTGGGAAGACAGAAGCTCTCTCCCCCCTTATCACTGTCACTCTGCCTCTGGAATGCACAAATAAATAGTTAAATTTTAAAAAGCCAAACCTTTTTAAAAAAATGCATTTGAATGCACCACACCCACGGCATATCTCGGCTCAGCCTCGCCTACTTTCAGTGAACTCGGGAGCACTCCCACGAGGAGTGCCTGCTGCCTCCTAAGTGAATATTTCATGCCGTGTTATGGACCATCGTACTGAAAGCAAAAACCAGGATGGCTGTGTGGGCGTTCGCTGACAACGATGACGAGGCACCTTTCCAAGCGGGGGCTGGGGTGGGCCTCGAGCCTAGCAGGATGCCTGCCTTTCCTATGAGGGTCCGGGGGGGTCACAGCCCTACTCCCCTCCTCACCCCAGGAGGCAGCGGGGACGGCTCCAGGAACCCACGCGGAGACCCGGGTCAAGTTCACTGCTCTTGGCATTTGGGGAGTCAACCAACAGATAAATAACTCTCTCTCACTCTAACATTTTTTTGAAGAATATACATACATACATATATATATACACACGTATATAATGTGCACATATATTTTTATAGCAGAGTCTCCATCAATTGCATATTTCTTTGACACCATGGTAAAAGTGAGCTGTCATTCAATTGGGGGCCAAAGTGAGAGCTCCCATCTCCTCCAAATGACCACCATGGCCATCACTCGGGCCAGTCGGAAGCCAGGAGCCAGGAGCTTCCTCCAGGTCTCCCACGTGGGCGGCAGGAGTCCAAGCACTCAGGCCACTCACTGCTTTGTGAGTGCATGAGCAGGGGAGGGCTGGAACAGGAACGGGGCAGCCGGGTCTCGAACTAGTGCCTATATGGGATGCTGGCAGCTCTGTGACCCTCAGCGTTCTAACCCAGGGGTCCAGCTAGTTGCCCTGACCACAGGCATAAAGTCTGCAGCCTGGAAAAGCTGCCAGTCTTCTAAATGGATCCTAAGCCAAGATGCCAAGGCCCCAAGTTTGACATCCACCCAGCTCACCCCTGCTGTCTGGGGTACAGTGGGACCCTTGGTTCCCCGCAGATGGAACAGTCCTGACCTCATGGGAAATTGGAGTCTTTCCAGGGGCTTTGAAGCAGCGCGGTGGCCTTGGGCAGGGGGCTACCTCCTGCATTGGCCCCCGCCCAGGGGCACGCAGACCACAGCCTCACCTGACTGAAGCTGGGCTCGAACTCCACACGGCCCTGGCTGCCCACGTGCAGGATGGGAGCTGCGATGGCCTCTGACAAGTCCAAGCCCAGCCACAGCTTATTCATGACGGCCTGGTGGGGAGGGACGGGAGAGGTAGGGAAGGGAAGGAGGCAGGGAGGGCATAGCGCCCCACCCCCATGCCAGCCAGAGCCACTGAAGCAGGGCAGGCAGCAGCACCAGGTCCCACCCCCACCCCAGCCCCTACCCCCGCTTGCCTCCACTGTCACCAACCCCCTCCCTCCCCGACTCACCTGGACCACGGCAGAGATGATGAGCTCTCCCCCAGCCCCGCCAATCACCAGCTTGGCTCCTCGAGCTGCGCTGATCAAGATGGAAGGGACCATGGATGATGGGGGCCGCTCTCCTGGAACTGGGGCCCGAGGGCAGGTGGTGTCAGGCACGGCTCCACGCCCTCCAGGACCACCCCATCCATGGCTGGGCAGGCAGGTGACCCACACAAGGCACAGCTCTGCAGTCCACGCCCAACCCTAGCTCCCTCCTCTCAGTTCCCTGTCTCCTAACCCTGCCTCATCCCCGGGGTCCCCGGGGGGTCCTGGGTTGAGGGGGAGCGCTGTTCTTACCAGGAGCTGGGGTGATGCTGGAGCCCGGCCGACGTCTCCAGCAGAAATCTAGGAGTTCGTTGTTGAGAAGAATCCCCGTCCGTGGGGAGTACACCATAGCCCCAAAGCTGCAGTGGGGTTGGTGGGGGAGGGAAGCGGTGTACGGGTTGGCACCTGTGCTGAGGGTGGGAGAGGGGGCACTGCCTCCACTAACCCTAACTCTAACCTTGGGTCCCCTGCTCAAGAGGAGGTCACCCCCTAGACACCTGCCTGTACCCCCTACACACACCTTTCTGGGGAAGGCAGCCCCCTCCCTCTGCCCCCGCATGCTCCACTCCAGGCGCGGAGATGGGGAGGTGGTATCCCAGGCAAAGGACAAAGGGAGGTGCTGTCCCCAGGGGCAGGCAGGGGTTCAGGCCACTGGGAAGCAGAGCAGGCAAGGGAGGGGTGGTAGGAGACCCCACCCCCTGTGCCCACGCACGGCGTGTTGATGGTGCTGGTGGCTGACACCGCACTGCCATCCTCCCCAAGCACCGACACGTGAGAAGTGCCCATCCGGTAGTCCCAGGGCCCCTCCAGGCTGTAGTGGCTGAGCCTGTGGTCGCCACGGCCATCGATCTGCTGGCGAGTGTGCCTGGCCAGCTCTTCCCCCAGCAGGGGAAGGGAGTCGTTCTGGGAGAGGGCAGGGTAGGCAGAGGGTGTAGGGTTCAGTAAGGGACCCTGTGTGGGACCTACAGAGCAGAGGGCGGGATGCCCTCAGCCCACCACTCCCCCCCCCCACACGCACCACCACCCTGGGGGACCCTGCCTTGTCTATTTTTTACCTGGTGGCCACAAAGGACCACCCCCTCCAGTCCTGCCCACCCTTCAGGTGCCTGGAGCAAAGGTATCAATTACCCCTGTACTTGCTCCACATCTGGACCCCACCCCTGAGTCACCGTGAGATACACAGCCAAATCCCCCCCCCCCCCTTCTGCCAGTCCCGACTCCAGGATGAGTACCAAGCTTGGGGAGAGCCTCTCCCCCATCCCCCTCCTCCCCCCAGCAAGCTCACCTGCATCTCCGGATGGCTGCGGGGGTCCCACAGCCGCCACTTCTGGCCCCAGGCAAACTTGAATGTCTCCACAAGGTGGTGGTACACGTCCACGCTTCCTTCAGGGCTGGCCACCGAGTCCGCTGAGAAGTTGAACCCTGGGTGGGAAGGGGGTGGTGCATGCGGACAGGGCATACGTGGGGGGGCACTTGGTGTCATGGTGTAAATGTTGGGGAAAGCTCCCAGGAGATACACCTGTGTCCCACCCCCAGATGGTGTGCGCGTGGAAGCTTCCCATGTAAGCAGCACAACCAAGGATTTCGACAGGGAGTAGTGATCCCAGACTTTGAAGTAGGACCTCTAAGTGACCACGGTATTTATGTGCTTGAAAGGCAGAGTGAAGGCTGTCGTGGTGGCTTAGTGCCTGAATCTGCTGCTACCTGCTGCACCAGCATCCCACGTGGGCACTGGTTCATGTCTCGGCTGTTCCACTTCCCATTCAGCTCCCTGTTCATGTGCCTGGGAAAGCAGCAGAAGATGGGTCCAAGTGCTTGGACCCCTGCCGTCCACATGGGAGACCCGGATGGAGCACCAGGCAGTTGCAGCCAGTTGCGGTGAATGAACCAGTGAATGGAAAATCGTTCTTTCTCTGTTTCTCCTCTCTGCTCTGTAACTCTCACTTTCGGATGAATAAGTAAGACTTTTAAAAACCTGTTTATTTCAACAAAATAAATTGCATGTTATTCTGAGTGTTAAAATCTTATGCCTCCATTCCATTGGATATAAATGTCTGCCCACAGTATCCACGCTGTACCCATCATCCACCTGCTAGTTACTTAGTAGCTATGTATGTTACACAATCCAGGGTTCAGTGAGTTCTTCAAGTGAGCCTTACTCCGCGTGAACCTTTGGCCTAATAATTCAGATGCGACTGGCTCCTGACTCCAGCTTCCTGCTTAGGAGATCTGGGGAGGCAGCAACGATGACTCAAAGAAGTTGGGAGTCTGCCATCCAGATGGGAGAGCTGGATTGAGTGCCCAGCTCCTGGTCTCGGCCTCGGCCTTCGCCCTAGATATCGAGAGCACCTGGACAGTCGTTAGCTGGCAGCCAGATCGAACGCTGAGCAGCTGGGACTTGAACTGGCACCCATATGGGAGGCCAATATTGCAGACAATGGAGTCACTTGCCAGCCCCTCCTCTAGACTCTTCTAGGGGAATAAGACCCTGAGAACGCCTTGATATCAGGTTTCAAGTCTGTAGAAGTGTGACAGAGTGAGTTCCCGTGGTTTTAAGCCAGCAAGTTTCTGGCAGTTATGACAATAGCCCAGGGACATGAACACAGCCAGCTGTGGACAGTCCCAGGCTGCCTGGGCACCGGGCTATGCCAAGGCCACGATGGACAGCTCACTAACTGTAGAGTTGAGGCCAGGTCACTTGCTGGGAGGAGGGCGTGGGACCCTTCCCCAGCCCTGAGTGTGGGTGTGGTCAGTGGCCAGCGGCCAGCGGCCAGCTCTGAGACCCACGAGCCCTGCCTTCCCAAGCACCTGTTTGTTTGATCTGTGGAAGAAAGGGGCTGGGCCTTGGCTGGTCTTGGAGCTCCCAGAAGCCCTGGACTCCATCCCAGGCAAGGTCCTCACCTCTGAGCACGTTGAGGATGAAGCTCAGGATGGCGCCCCCTGCCGGCGGCGGTGGTGAGTACAACGTGTAGTCCCCCAGTGACATCTCGAGGGCATCCAGTATCTCTGGGTGGAAGTCACCCAAGTCCTTCATGGTCAGCCGGCCTCCTGGGGGTGAGATGGGGCCGGGGAGGGTGACCCAGGTCACATGGTGGAAGATCCCTGCATTACCCTGACCACTCAAGCATGTGGACTGCAGTCATTGGTGTTTAAGCTCAGCACCCCCATGAGCCAGATATAAGCAATGTGTTTGCCCAGGTCCACAGGAGTCCGCTGTCGCCATGGTAATGGTCCCCTCGGCTGGCTCCCATTCCCACTGGGGAAATTTGACTCTGAGGCCCTGGATTCCAGCGTCCCTGAGGCCAGCAGTGGGCAACCAGCATCAGCAAGGATCTACCTCTCAACTTCCAGGATTCTCCATTGGCACAGAGTGTGGGATGGGAAAGAGTGTTGGGATCCCCACCAGCCTTAGCTACCTTCCTTGGCAACGTCCTCCACCAACATCCGGCCCAGCCTGCCCTTGTAGAAAGCCTCTGCACCCTCGGCGGCCACCGTCTCCAGGGTGGCAGCCAGCGCAGGCCAGGGGAATGGGTCCTGTGGCTGCAGAGGCTCCGTCCCATTGAAGAAGAGCTGCCTGATGGAAGCAGGGTGTGGGAGACAGCCTCAGGGTGGGGGCAAGGTCCTGAAGGGCAGCTTTGGGGTGCACAGGGTATGCCCAAGAGCAGCACTGCCCAATCTGGGGGTGGGAGGACAGGGTCTCTTGGGGCAGGACAGATCTGCCTCCCTACAGCCCTGTAGGGTGGGCCAAGGAGCAGGAGGAGGGTACGACAGAAATCTTCTTGGTGAGATGGAACAGGTGCAAAGCCCTCATGCGGGTCCTTATGGGTGATGGGCTCTCCCCCCACCACCTGAACCCCCACGGTACTGAGCCGGGAGCGACGGGTAGGGCAGCGGGGAGCATGGGCAGAATCGGTGCTCACCGCAAGGAGGATGTGGTCAGTGAGGGCTGCAGGAACCTGCTGTGCAGGAACTGGCTGAGGATGGAGGGCAGGCGGAAGTCGCCTCTCAGCAGTTCGATGGTGGGCTGGAATAGCTGTGCCCAGGGCAGGCGGCCATGGCGGCGGTGGGCCTCAGCATAGCCACGGAGCTCCCCTGGAACCCCTATCCACTGGGACCCTGCACACACACACACATACACACACATGCGTGCACCTGCCCTCAGCCCTCGTGGCTGCTCAGCCACACTCAGTACCACCCCTTGCCCATAAGCCATGGTTGCTACAGAGACCTCCCAAAGACAGCCCCTCCACCATGGCCACCCAGGTCCCACCTTGCAAACCCCATGGCTTCCATGCAAAGCCCACAGCTCCACATGGACTCCAGTTCACCTCCACCAACTGCTGTCTCCTCTTCCCCACTCCAAGGGCCCCACCCCACAGCTCAGGGGCCCCACACCTGTTCTCCATCCACATCTCTCCATCCCATGCCAGACTGTCCACCTGTGGGTTGCTGCTCAGTCCCAGCTCTGGCAGGGTGCAACCAGGACCCCTCCAAGGACTCACCTGTGCCCAGCGGCATGGCCTGATCACATCTGTTGAGCAGGTCAGGGTCACTGTTGGCCGGCACAGACTCGCGGGCATTGATAATCTCCACTTTACCTGCAATCAGGGCAGTTGAGCAGGTCAGTGGGCATCCCCCCCACCCCCTGCCCAGATAGGCCTCAGTTTCCCCTCCTGTCTTGACATTCAGGACAGGATCCAACAGCAAGGAATCAGGAAGGGGTACAGGACGGGCACCCCAGTGGTGCGGTCAATATACAAACCCATCCCCCACCCGGCGTGGGTCTAACCTGTTGTTGCGTTGTAAATGGTGAAGATGACCCCTCCACCCAGGCCCATGCTCTGGGGGTTGATGACGCCAGTACAGACCAGAGCGGCAATGGTGGCATCCACAGGTGAGCCTTGCTGTTCTAGGATGGCTCTAGGGGACAGGACAAGGCCCTGACTCACAGACCTGGTGGCTCCCCTCCACCCTCCCCTGCCATCCCACCCTCCATCACTCCCTGCCTCCCTGCTTGGCTTACGCTCACTGAGGGGGAGAGGAGGTGACAGCTTGGTGGCCCATCTGTTGTCACCAGACTGGGGCAGGCTGGCATCCAGCTCAGTCACTCTCAGGGTCAAAGCATACTACCGTTTGCCAAGGTCCATGCCACTTACCCTGTCTTTTATCAGGCATGTGGACATAGCAAGTTTGCCAAGTTTGCTGCCTGCCTTGATTCCCTAGAAGTTCCCCTGCAGTGTAGGAGCCCAAGCTGGGGACCCCCCACACCAACCCTCCCTGGAGAACACAGCGGACCCCAGCCTTCCTGCCCACAGAACCTCTAGGAACCCCACGGGCATCCAAACCCAGCGACCAGGGGCAGAAGGCAGGGAACCACATTCCCCAAGGGAGCGGACCTGAATTCTCTGTTGCCCTACCCCCACGGGACCTCTGGATCCCAGGGCCCACCTTAGGCACAGATGCCCGTGACCCAGTCAGTCAGTTCTGCCTGAACCCAAACCCAATTTATTGTTATCAGAAAGCCTCCTGGGCTCCATGCCCCTCCCTGTGCCCTAGGACACACGTGACTTTAGCTGGGCATGAAACAGACAAGACTGTTGAACACAAGGACTCATGCCAATACACAGTCAAGTGACAAACTGGCACAGCAGGGATCTATTCAAATCCCATCACAGACAAAAGCCTCACCCCTGCTAGGCAGATCCTCCCCACACAACTGTTCCTCGCCTCCGTGGCTCAGTGGCGCTCAGCTCAGGCCATCACCCATCCTACCCCGACCCTCCACCCATGAGCCCCTCATGTTCCTCCCTCATCTCCCAAGGTTGGGGGTCCCCAGGCTTGGTCCCTGCTGCTCGTGCTTCTGTATACTCCCCAGCCTGATCACAGTCCCATGCCTCCCCCTCCCCCATTAACTGCAGCTGCTCAAGAGGGTTCTTTGAGCACTGCACGGTAGCTTAGCAAACTAAGCCTCCCCCTGTAGTGCCAGCATCCCTTAGGGGTGCCTGTCCCGATCCCAGCAGCTCTACTTCTGATCCAGCTCACTGCTTATGGCCTGGGACAGTAGCAGACCATGGCACAGGCCCTTGGACCCATGCACCCTCGTAGGAGAACCAGAAGAAGCTCCTGGCTTTTGACTGGCACGGCCCTGGCCATAGAGGCAATTTGAGGGAGTGAATCAGCAGGTAGAGGGTCTCTCTGTAACTCTGACTTTCAAATAAATAAATGTTTGAGTGGGGCAGGTTGGGGGGAAGCTTAGTTTTGGTATAAACAATTGAAATTTGTGTATCTTTCTTTAATTTTTTTTTAAAGATTTATTTTTTTTTTATTGGAAAGGCAAATATACAGAAAGGAGAAGGACAGAGAGAAAGATCTTTTGTCCGATGGTTCACTCCCCAACTGAGTGCAACAGCCGATGCTATGCCGATCCGAAGCCAGGAGCCAGAAGCTTTTGCCGGGTCTCCCACATGGTGCAAGGTCCCAAAGCTTTAAGCCATGCTCGACTGCTTTCCCAGGCCACAAGCAGAGAGCTGGATGGGAAGTGGAGCTGCCGGGATTAGAACCGGCGCCCATATGGGATCCCAGTGGTACGTTCAAGGCGAGGACTTTAGCCACTACACCATCGTGCCGGGTCCTGTGCATCATTTTTTAATAACAAGTTTTCTTTAAAGATTTATTTATTATTGTTGGAAAGTCAGATCAGATTTATGGAGAGAAGGAGAGACAGAGAGAAAGATCTTCCATTACTGATTCACTCCCGACATGGCTGCTACAAGTGGAGCTGAGCCTATCTGAAGCCAGGAGTGAGGAGCCTCTTCCACATCCCCCACACGTGTGCCGGGCCCCAAGGTTTTTTGGCCCACTAGCAGGAACTTGGAGCAGAAGTGGTGGAACTCGAATCAGTGTCTTAACCCACTGAACCACAGTGAATGGTTACCCACATCCTACTGGAAGCTCAAGTTAAGCAAAGAGGTCACGTGGCAAAACAGGAAGCCAAAGACGTGGGAGGGGGCGGCCCACTCTAACATAACAGCCACCCGCTGTTTGGGGGACCCCCTGGGGTTCCTGAAGGATGAATTCAGTTTCCTGGAAGCCTTCCTCATTTCCCACTGCCCACCCCCGCTCCCCTTCCCGGCCAGGCGGCCTTGGAACCTCACCCAGACCCCAGCACCAAGGCAACAGAAGGCTCAGGCGGTGGGGAAGAGGCCCCACAAGCTCTTCAAGGCCCCATAGGATGTGAGGATGATGAAGCCCTCAGACCACAGACGGGAGAACAACTCCATTCCAAGCCACAAAAGTGCCGGATCTCTTCTCTGAATTATTTATGTACCTTCACTTTGTGCAAAAGGCAGAACAGACACGAGAGAAAGATCCTGCATTCACCAAATAAATTCACTTCCCTCCCCTGCCTCCGCCAAAAATGCGTGCAACTGGGAGGGGCAGAGTCAGGCTAAAGCCGGGAGCCTAGAACTTTCTATCCGGGTCTCCCACAAGCACTTGGGCCGTCCCCTGATGCTTTCCCAGATCCACAAGCAAGGGAGCCAGCTACGGAACACAGCTGCCAGGACTTCAACTGGCAGCTATACGTGATGTTGGCGCCACAGGAGATGGCTTTGCCTGCTGATGGTGCCAGCCCCAGCTACACTTTGTATGTTAATTATATTTTTCTTGAATATTCTGAAACAGCCTCCTCTATTTACCCAGAAATAATAGCACAGGTCATGAGGACAAAAAATGGAGTTAGTGATCCAAGGCCTCCACAAAGCCCTAATCAGTGCTGGAATTTGATAAGCGCATTGATGTTGTAATCTTTGAAAAAAAAAAAAAACTCGCTGCTATCTCTCTCTCTTTTATTAAGATTTATTTATTTTTATTGCAAAGTCAGCTATACAGAGAGGAGGAGAGACAGAGAGGAAGATCTTCCATCCAATGATTCACTCCCCAAGTGACTGCAACAGCCGGAGCTGAGCCAATCCGAAGCCAGGAGCCTCTTCCGGGCCTCCGACAAGGGTGCAGGGTCCCAAAGCTTTGGGCTGTTCTTGACTGCTTTCCCAGGCCACAAGCAGAGAGCTGGATGGGAAGCGGGGCTGCCGGGATTAGAACTGGCACCCATGTAGGATCCCAGGCGTGCAAGGCGAGGACCTTAACCACTACACCATCGCGCCGGGCCCAAGAAAGGTTTCTTAAAACAAGAACAGAAGGCAGAGAAGGAGGGGGGCAGGAAAGAGAGGGAGCAAGGTCAGGGCAGAGAGCCCAAGCACCCTGACGGTCATTCCCCCAGCAGCACAGACTCAGGGACACACAGAAAACCCACTGAGACATCCGGGGCAACTGGCCCCTCACCCCTACTCTTGGAGCCCTATGTATATTGGTGGTCTGCGGTGGCCCCAGATCCCACCCCCAGCCTCACTTGTATCTTTGCCACACCTCACTCCTCCAAGGGAGAGCAGGGCCAGGGTACTAGGGCATCAGGTGTGCCCTGAGCTGCTGCCCTCCAAGGCAGGGGACAATAGGCCCTCCTGGCAGGGGAGGGGGGCAGGGGCTGGGGTAGCAGGGCAAGATGGCCAGGTGTCTGGAGTGAGGAAACGAAGAACGAAAACAGCAAGAGAAAGATGATGATGGGCAGATGTGGCAGCCCAAGATGTGATGCTACTGCTGTGCTTGAGCCGTACCAGACCTGGTTCCTCCACCCCAACCAGCTCCCTGCTAATGCAGCTGATGGCTCCAGTGCTCGGGGCCGCTCACACAGGAGACCCAGTGGAATTCCCAGTTCCGGCTATTGGTGCAAGCATCTGGGAGGCAGGGAGGCAGGGAGGCGGGCAAGTGAATGAGTGGATGATAAATCTTTCGCCCTGCTTTTCAAATAAATTAATCACATCTTGGAGAGGCAGCTGGGAGGGGAAGTGGTGAATGAATGAACAACCCGAAAGAGAAAGTGGTGCTTCACCAATGGGGCACAGGAGCGGCGTTCCCCGTCTGGCCCAGCCACACAACAGCCTCATATCAGGACTGTCCCCACCGGGGTTTACAAAAGCACTGAGGATCCTCATGATGACTGATATTCTGGGAAGCCAAGTGGGGTTGGCGGGAAGGAGCCGAGGGCTGCGGCGGGAGGCAAGAGGCTGGGAGGGGCTTCCTGCCCCGGCCCTGGCCTGCAGTGGGCAGCGGCAAGGCCTCCCTCCCACGCGGGCTGGGCTTCCTGGAAAAGGGGCCAAGGAACACACACCAGCCACAGACCTTCTCCACCTGATCACCCCCTCCGGCCACACATCAGTCCACTCTGCTTGTTGGGCCCTGACCCCGAAGTGCAAAGGAGGTGGCCGTGTCAGCTTTCCTAGGTCTGAGAGGTGACAACGCTTTGGTGGTCCCAGGCTGAAGGGGACACAGCCCAGTGTACCGATACAGCCGGCAGGCCAGCCAGCACTCAAGTACGGAACCCCTGAATCCTGTTGGCCATGCCCAGCCTGGAGAACAGCTCAGCTTTGGAGAAATGGCACAGCTTGCATGAACAGCTGGCACCAGTCAGGGTCCCATGCCAGTTTAGGTCGGATAAGCAACCCCCTGGAAGTGGGAGGTGGGGGGATCTGCATCGCCCACTCAGCGTGCAAACAGAGCCCTGGAGCCAGGAATGCACAGACACCCCTCTGCCAACGCTGCTGTTGCTTCGCCAGGCACACCTGTGCTGTGCTAAGGCTTGGAGCCACCTCCTGGTACCCCTACCTCTGCCTGTGCCCCCTGTACCCCAACACCCTCACTGCGGACACCCTCACCATGGGTCACAGACTCTGCATGGAGCACCTGCCGCTGAGGGCCACCCAGCCTCCACCTACCTCTCACTCACCGTCCAATGTCTGAGCAGACCTTGGAGTCAGCGGCCACAGCAGCGCGGAGGAAGGCGTTAGGGCCACAGGGGGTGTGGCGGCGGGAAAGGACCACAGCCAGCACGACAATGGCCAGCGTCAGGGCCAGTCCCAGCAGGACCAGGCTGAGGGTGGCCCTGCGGCCACAGGCCATGGCTCTGTGGCCCAAGGGAAAGAGGAGAAGACAGGTGGGCCAGTGGATGGATGGAGATGAGTGGGGTGGGATGGGTGATCGCACAGATACACAAAGACAGGCAGCGGCTGGACTGGCACGCAGGGCAGCAAGACAAGGAAGGACAAGAGGGACTTACAGGTGGGTGCCAGCAGACAGGTTACAGACAAGCAGCGGGCAGCCAGGTCGGGAGAGAGAGTGGGGACTGTGGGCAGGCGGGCGGCCGGCACAGCCCTTCTGCTTGGGTGCTGGCTGTGGAGGGGAGCTGGCCCCACGCCTGGACTTCCAGTTTGCAGTCCCTGCTCTTGCCCTGGCAGGAAGCCAGGCAACTGACTGGGGAGTTTTTTTTTTTTTTTTTTTTTTCTTGCAGAGAACAGCAGTCTGTTGCATGCAGTTAACCCCCTCCCTGCCCAACTGTCCCACGGCCAGTGAGCTGGCGCCAGGGCTCCCCTCCACATAACCCATTCCATCATATCAAAGACTTGGCACTTGCTGTATGCCTCCCCCAATCCTGAGGAGGCGGGCAGAGAAGCTGGGCACCCAGGAACCCTCGCTCCACTCACGGCAAGGGAGGGGTGACTGTTCTCCCCAGCTGTTCTATTCCAAAGGAGCTGGATAAGGGGCAGGGGCTAAGGCTGAACGCCTCACCACCATGCTGCCCACCCCCCATCTCCCACCCTCTCCATGTGGCCCTGCCCTAGCCACCACTGAGAGACCCAATGGAGGTGGGTGGGGCTCAGAGGCAGTGGGAAAGTGATGGGTCAAGGGTTCAAGCTCAGCTCAGCTCCGCTGGCCTTGGTCTGCTCTCTACACCCTCCCCCCTCTGACACACGCACACATCACTACTCCCAGCTCTGCGGAAGGGGTAGCCTGGCCTCCTGGCACCCTAAGGCAAACACAGGCTGTTCATCTAGTGCTTGGCACCCATTGCCACTGGATCAACTGTCGCTGGGACCCATAGTCCGGGGGCCTCTGGGAAGCCACCTGCCACTTGGCCCCTCACGTTTGGGGCCATCCCACTGTGCCCACATGTGGCTGGCAGAGAGAAGATCCACAGGGGTCCACCTGGGATCAGGCAGGCCATGGGCTGGGCTCCTGCCCCCTCTCCCCCACTCCCCTCCAGGTCCTCACACGTGGAGTCAGAGTCCTCACATATGGCCAGCCTGGGCCAGAGAGCCTGTCCAGGATAAGCTTGTTCCCACAGTTCTGCCTCGGGCCCCCACTTCCACCCTCCCCTCTGCACGCACAATGGCCCCCCAGGGTGCAGGCTGCAATGACATTGCCCAACTTGGAATCCAAGTGCATTCCAGGGCCCACCCACAGCAGACCTCAGGAAGCCCACAGGCGGGACGGGGGTGGGGGGCGGGGTGTGGGACATCCCCGCTCCTCCCCCCCAGCCACCCTGGTGCGGCCCAGAGGATAGGGCCCTATGGGAGGCACGGAGCTAGCCTGGAGGGTGGAGGGAAGATACCAGAAGAATTCAGGCCCTCCCAGTTGTTTAGTGGGAGCCTCACGGCCGCCACCCCTCTCCTGCCATGGCTATGCGAGGCCCGCCCCTGCGGCCTCAGAGTCCTCAACTCTGCTAATGGGATAGGAGGCCCTGGCTTGGTCTCCCAGGATTAAAACCAGCCCAGTCCCACTGCCTTGCACCAGATCCAGCTGTCCACCAGCCCAGGGGGCTGTGCAGCGGCAGTGTGTGTGTGGCTCTAGGGTCAGCAGGCCTCCCTGGGGGCCAAGGGCGGGAGTGGACAAGGGCCCCCAGTCATGCCCTCTCACTCCCTGCGGGTGGACAGAGTTGGCCCTCCGGGACCTGGGGCAGCCTCCTTCATTTGCAGTTCCGTGAGACTCAGGCCCCCCTCCCCTGCCCTCCCTGTCCTGCTTCTGGGACAGGCGGGGGTGGGGGGATGGAGGGGTGGGGGTGGAGGTGGTGGGGGGTCATCAGTGTGGGGGGTGGGTTTCACTCTGACCTTGTGCTTGGAAATCAATCACCCCTGCCCCTTCCCGCTCTCTTCAAGATGTTTCGCGCACCAGCCTCTTTACCTAATCTCCATGGGCCTCAGACCCCACCTCACCTCACGGCGTTGTGTCCTGGAGCAGACCGGATCAACTGGCCCCTGCCTGCACAGGCTGCCCTCTGTCCCCGCTCAACGCTAAGACCGCAGCGCCTCCCGGTGGCCCATCCTGGGAGAAATGACAGCTTCTCCCACTAGCACCCGCAGCTCCAAGATGTCCAAATTCCCACCTTCCACTCTCTCCCCTTCCTCTGCAGCCATTCCACGCACACGTCGCTGAGGCTCAGGGAGTGGGAGCCTGGCCAGCAAGGCTGCCCAGAGCCTGGCGCTGCGGCACCATTTATTGCTTTTCTCTGCAGCTCATGGGCTAAAGGCACCTTGCCCGCAAAGTCCCCACTTGTACGTAGATCTGGTTCCCTGGGCCTGCTTGTCATCCCAGGCCCCTCAGTAGCCAGCAGGTTCTCCCCCTTTTCTGGAGTCCGAGGCGGCTGCCCAGCCACGGGCTGTGCGTAGGACGGCTTGTACCACAGCGATAAATGTGGACGTAGTCTCAGTTTCGTGGCCCCGGGCGTGCAGGCCTGTGACCACCGCCTTGAAAGAATGGAAGGGGAACAGGAGATTGTAGGAGCACCTGTACGCCTCCCAGGAAACCACACCTGTGGGGCCATGAGCTTTGCAGGCCCCACCAGGTGGGACCATTTCCAGCTTAGGAGCCAGGAAAGGGCAAGTTGGAAGTTGCCACCTTGCTGGCATAGCAGCTTAGGGGTGCTGCTCCCAGCAGAAGGCACAGGGACACCAGTGGGGCCCGTTACAGTGGGGCTTGTGGCTCCACCTCCCCCGTCCCACACCCACCTGGTCGAAGCCCCTCTCCAGGGTGGTGGCGCTTGGTAGCAGTTGGTTGTGGAGCCGTGGCTCCTCCACCCCCCTCTTCACGTCATAGTCGAACCACAAACTGTGGATGATGGCCTAGAATGGGGAAAGGTGGACAAGGGTGGAGTGAGCCTGGCGTGAGGGCAGGGCTGGGGAGGGCATGGCTGCGGTGGGGGGGGGGGGGGGGCGGGAGGAGGAGGTGCATACCAGTGCGGTGGCTGTGGTGATCTGGGTGCCCCCCGAGGCACCGACCACCATCTGCACCCGACCGTCGGGGCCCACGATGATGCTTGGACACATAGACGAGAGTGGCTGTTTCCCTGGGAGGGGACAGAGGTGGTCAGCCAGCTGCCCGGGCAGGCTGTCAGCACCTGCCCACGGCCCCCGCCAACCGGCACACCTGGCTTGATGAAATTGGCCGGTGAAGGTGACACCCCAAACTGATTGGTGATGTTAGGGGTGCTGAAGTCGTCCATCTCGTCGTTGAAGATGATCCCACTGACTTGAGACAGGATCTTGGAGCCGAAGCTGTAAGCGGACAGGCAGTCAGAACTGCTTGTGCATGGTGCTGTTGGGTTCTGCCTGGTCCCTTACCCACCCCAGTCCGAGCTCAGGAGGTCCCAGGGCCAGCTACCAAGATGGCGGGAGGGGCCCTCAAGAAAGGGATCCATTGAGGCTGGTGCTGTGGCATCTTCCTATACGAGCACCAGTTCAAGTCCCAGCTGCTTCACTTCCTGATCCAGTAGAGGACGGCCCAAGTGCTTGGGCCCCTACACCCATGTGGAAGACCTGGAAGAAGCTCCTGGCTCCTGGCTTTAGATCAGCACAGCTCTAGCCATTGTGACCACTTGGGGGGAGTGAATCAGCAGATGGAAGATATTTCTGTCTCTGTCTATTCTCTCCATAAATAAGTTACAAAGCAAAATTTAAAAAAAGAAAGAAAGAAAATAGGGCCCAGGCCCGGCGCAGTAGCCTATTGGCTAAAGTCCTCGCCTTGAATGCACTCATTGGGATCCCATATGGGCGCCAGTTCTAATCCCGGCAGCTCCACTTCCCATCTAGCTCCCTGCCTGTGGCCTGGGAAAGCAGTCGAGGACAGCCCAAAGCTTTGGGACCCTGCACCCGCGTGGGAGACCTGGAGGAAAATCCTGGCTCCTTGGCTTTGGATCGGTGTAACTCTGACCATTGCAGTCACTTGGGGAGTGAATCATCGGACGGAAGATCTTCCTCTCTGTCTCTCCTCCTCTCTGTATAGCTGACTTTGCAATAAAAATAAATAAATCTAACTTAAGAAAAAAAAAAAAGAAAAAGATATAGGGCTCAGCATGGTAGCCTAATGGCTAAAATCCTCGCCTTGCATATGCCAGGATCCCATATGGGTGCTGGTTTGTATCCCAGCTGCTCCAGTCCCCATCCAGCTCCCTAGGAAAGCAATTGAGGACGGTCCAAAGCCTTGGGACCCTGCACCTATGTGGGAGAACCACAAGAGGATCCGGGTTCCTGGCTCTGGATCAACTCAGCTCTGGCTGCTGCGCTCACTTGGGGAGTGAATCAGCAGACGGAAGCTCTTCCTCTCTGTCTCTCCTTCTCCGTGTGTATCTGCCTTTCCAATCAAAATCAAGAAATCTTAAAAAAAGAAAGGGGAGGGTGGACCCTTTCTTCCTTTGGGGAATCTCTGCCCCCTCCCCTTCCCCGAGTCACCCTACTAGAGATTGATGGTGCTGGTGGCAGACACGGCATTGCCTTCCTCGTCGACCACGGACAGGTGGGCGGTGCCCGAGTCGTCAGGACTGTAGTACTCCGGCTCGTAGTAGTCGGTGGGGTGTGTGTTGTTGGTGATCTGGGCTCGGAGCTGTGCCGCGTAGTGCTCAGAGGTCATGTTGGCGATCACCTGCCGAGACCCCAGAGCTGGCCTGAAGAGGCGGGGAGGGGGCACAGGCTGGTGCGAGCAGCTCTCAGGAAGCCCCCACCGGGGGCTCCGCCTGCCCCACAGCCCCCCAACTCCCAGGACCCACTCCGCAGCTTGTCCCTGTGGTGGTATTCCAGCAACTCACGATGCCATTCAGGCCTCCAGGCTCGCCACAGGGGGCTCACTCACTCACTCACACAAACATTAGGGGACTTTAGGAAAACTAAACTAAAGATGGCAGCTAGCGCCATGGAGTAAAATATACAGCTGCCTATGGGTGTTGGTTCGAGTCCCAGCTGCTCCATTTCCGATCCAGCTCCCTGCTAATGCACCCTGGGAAGGCAGTGAAGGATGGTACAAGTTTTTGACCCTACACCCACGTGGGAGATTTAGAAGAAGTTCCTTCTTGGTTTTGACGTGGGCCAGCCCTGGCCACCGCAGCCATTTGGGAAATGAACCAGTGGATGGAAGATTCCCTCTGTAACTCTGCCTTTCAAATAAATAAATCTTAAAAAAAAAAAAAAAAAAAAAAACAGAATGGCGAGAGTGTGGTGATCTGGCACCTCAGAAGGTGGGGGAAGGATGGAGCCGGCTGGAAGGTTCTAGATCAGCAGCAGCCTCTCAGGGGAATGGCCCCTTTGAAACCGGAAGCCGTGAAGAAGGGAGGAGGGAGATATGCACACTGAGCTCTGAGCAGCCAGCGGCTGGAGGGGCCGGCCTTAGCCAGGGGGGATCATGGGGCTGGACATGGTGCAGTGGCTTTGGTCATCTCGGGGAGGGCTATCCCAGGTCACAGGGCCGTGTGGGAACAAGTCTGCCCTGCCCTGCAATGCCAGGGATTCTAGCAGGAACAGGCACCCATGAGTGCCCCCTGGTGGAAGGGGACCAGATAGGTGCTGGGGCACAAGGAATGCTGGGAGCTGGGCTGGGGGGAGAGGCTCGTTCCAGGGTATGATGAGGCTGAGGCGTCCCTCCCACCTGCTTCTTTCCTTCTCATTCCTGTCCTCCCTGCAACAATGCCCCCCTCCCCCAGCACCGGCCACTCCAGGACCAATCAGGCTAAGGGGTACAGCATATTCAAAGTCCTGGAAGTAAGAATATGGCCAGAACAGGGCTGGAAAAGAGCTCTATTTGTCCATGGTCAAGTCTATCTCCACCTGCCCAACCCTCCCCCATTCCATACAACATGGCAGGGGCCAGGACTTGGGGTCACCAGTCCCACCCCAGCACACAGTAGGTCTGCACCCAGCAGCAGACTTGCAAAGTTCACATGACCCCGCAGTGGCCACAGGGAGTCCCACCTGGCATCTCCTCCAGGGCAACGGGTTCCCTCCCTTACCTACCTTTGTGACATCCTCAAACCTGGGGTCCCCAAGCAGGGTCCTCTTGGCGTAGGCAAACCGGAAGGCCTCTATGATGCGGTGGTACGTCAGGATCTTCTGCGCGGGGGTCTTGACACTCTCCGGGGAGAAGTTGTATCCTGGATGATCAGAGTCGGGGGGACTCCTGAGAGGGGTTCAGCGATCTCATGACTCCCCAAGGCTAAGAGCCGGTCGGTCACATCAGAGGGGACCAGGCGCCTCCCCCCCAGCCCTCCTCCAGCCAGTCCCAGCAGGCCTCTGCCAGGAGGGAAAGGAGGTGGTGGTGGTGGTGATGCTCAAACAGGGGGACACTCACCTTTGAGGATGTTGAGGATAAGGGCCAGCACAGGGCCGCTGAGCGGGGCGCTGGGCGCATAGAGCACCGAGTCCCCTAGGTGGATGCTGAGTGGATCCTCGATGAGCTGGGCCTTGTAGTTTTTCAAGTCCTGGGCTGTGATGATGCCCCCTGTGGACGAGCGGGGACAGGGTCAGGGTCATGGATCGTGGAGGGGGGATGGAGGATGGAGCTGGGACGCTGGGAGCACGGGGTTGGGGAGGACTGGGCACACTCTGGAGGGTCCTGCTCATCGGGCCACCTGACGGGCAGAGCCCCCCAGGGATAGGTGTGCCTGCCAAAAGGAGGAGTGCCCCCTAGCTGTCCACTGTCGGGACCATCAACCAGCCCCTCTGTCCTGCCTAACGGCGCTCCACACAGCCCCCGCCAGCTGCTCTCCAGCTGCATGACAAGCCTCCTTTGCTCTCTGCTCTCTCTTTTCCTCTCTGGGGCTCCTAAGTAGAGACCCCCTGCTCCCATCTCCCCCCAAGCCCCAGGAACCATCAGCAAGAAATGCCAACATGAGAAGGTGGTTGCCTTGCCAAGTGCCCCCTCCTCCCTTGCCAGCACGCCCCCTCTGGCTAATTCCCTTCTTCATCCCCCATTCCTTATGACTCTTGGGGGTATTGGGGAGGCATCTCTCTCTCTCTGCCTTAGGATGCTAGGAATCTCTTCCCTCTCTCAGCTTGGACACTTCCTCCAGGACGTCCTCCTGGGTGCTCAGTGCCTCCCCCAGCCCTGGCTCCAGCCTCTTGAGCTGTTCAGCGGTTGTTGGCATTCCCCTTGCAAGAGTTCTTCTGGGTGTGTGGGGGTTGTCCAGTGCCCAGCCCAGACTCTCCAGGAGGGCCTGGGCATGGAGTGCTCTGTCATGGAGGTCCTCACCCAGGCCCCCAAGGTCACGTTCCTCACCAGCATCCTGGATGTCCTTGACAATCTGAGCCGTGAGGCTGCCGTCGTAGAAGGCCTGGGCGCCCTCGCGGGCCAGCGTCTCATAGGTGTTTGCCAGCCGCGACATGATCACCTTGTCCCCCTGCTGGAGTACCTTCCCATTGTGGCAAAACACCTCGCTGGGACAGAGGACACACATGTGAGGCAGCTGACTGGGTGGACCCCAGCTGGACTACCACCCCCCCATGCCCATGACCACAAGGTGGTCAAGACAGCACCTGTGGCAGGTACCTCCACCTGCAACACCTGTGCTGTGACACAGCCAGCCCTGCTGCGTGGGGCACACAATTACACCCTAAATATAGAGTCAAGTCCTCATGCCCGTGTGCTGGTGAATCCTCCACTCCCCGCCCCATGCCCCTTCCCCAGCCACAGGCTCACGCACCACAGCGCCGGCGAACCTTCCACCACGGCCCGACTTCTGTTAAGCGCGGCTGCCAGACCCGGGCCCACAGGGAAGCCATAGCGGGCCAACTGGATGCTGGGCTCGAAGAGGCGAGCCCAGGGCAGCCGACCATGCCGCTGGTGTGCCAGCTCGTAACCACGGATCTCACCGGGCACTGCCACGGATAACCCGCCTGTGGTGAGAGACGGAAGACTCCATGAGTAGAGGGTCAGTGAGGCTGGTGGAGAGGTGTGTGTGCGTGGAAGGGGCTGGGCAGGCACAGGATTGGGGGAGGGGGTGCATGAGTGCTGGATTTTGCTGTCTCTGTTGGTCCCTGAGTTGGGACCGCTCTCCCTACCACACACACACACACACACACTTTTTTTTATTATTATTATTGTGACCTGAGTCCCAGGCTCTATTCTGTGGCTTCTCCAAACTTCGGTTGCTCTGTCTGGCCCTAAGGGGTTTTGCCTTCCGGTTCTACCTTCCAAGGAGCCTGCAAGCCCTTCAGAAACAGATTCCCAGAGTTTGTTCAAGGAGCCCCCACTGCTGACCTGGGATCCACCCCATCCACCAGTGAGCGAATAAATGGGATGCTTAAATAAATAAATAAATAAATAAATAAATAAATAAATAAATGCAGGGCCCAGCGCAGAGGCCTAGCCACTAAAGTCCTTCCTTGGACGCGCCCAGGATCCCATATGGGTACAGGTTCTAATCCTGGCAGCTCCACTTCCCATCCAACTCCCTGCCTGTGGCACGGGAGAGCAGTCAAAGACGGCCCGAAGCCTTGGGACCTTGCACCTGTGTGGGAAACCTAGAAGAAGTTCCTGGCTCCTGGCTTTGGATCAGCATAGCATCGGCCGTTGCGCTCACTTGGGGAGTGAATCATCAAATAGAAGATCTTGCTCTCTGTCTCTCCTCCTCTCTGTATATCTGACTTTGTAATGAAAATAACAATAAATCTTTAAAAAAAAAAATGCAGGACTGAAGTGGGCATTTCTGTGTCCTGGTCTCACATCACAGGGTGCAGGTTTCCATTTGTGGTTACTGTTCCCGGTCCTAACTTCCTCCGAATGCAGGACCCACCCCACCGGAAGCAGCAGCAATGACGCAGGTCAACAGGGACCCTGCTACCCTCAAGGGAGACCTGAATCGAATGGCCGCCTGACTTGATTGAACCTCCAGGTTACTGAAGACATTTGCAGAAGTAAACCAGGACAAGGGAGTTCTCTTTCTCAAATATGTCAGTTTCATTTGATTTTGTTAGAAGATTTTTTTTTTTTTTTATCTTGAAAGAGAAAGATCTTCTTTCTGGTTTACTCCCTACCAGGAATGGACCAGACCTAAGCTTCTTCCAAGTCCCATGAGGGTGATGAGCTCAAGCCCTTGGGCCATCTTCTGCTGCTTTTCCCAAGCACATTAGCAGGGAACAAGGTGCAAAGTGGAGCAGCTGGGACTTGAACCAGGGACTACATGGCATACCGGCCGGTGTCACAGGCTGCCCTGGTGATGGATTTCTTAAAATAGCAGGTTCACCTCCAGGTTCATGGCCCTCCCAGCTGTATGGCCTCAGCCCATTTGCCTGATGTCCCTGAGCCTTAGCACCCCACCTGTAAAATGGAAATCAGTGCGGCAGCCCATGGTCCTCACCGCCAACCCAGCGGCTCGCCTGGGAGAGCACCCCACAGGACACCTGCCTGCTGTAAGACCCCTGATACGGGAGAGCTGTCAGGGCAGCACACCTCCTCCACCACCCCTCCATGGACCCGCCCCTCCCCTCAGGACACTCACATTCTATTTTAGAACACTATGCAGTATTTGCATCCCACCCACCACTCTCCCAACACGCTTTGAATCCTCTCTGCATTCCTTCTAAGACCGAGCCCGAGTTAAATTCTATGTAAATAGCTGCGGATGTTGGACTTGTATTTAGGGAGGGATGGTGATAAGAAAATGAAGTATGTGTGGGTTGGTGGGAGTAAGTAAGTTAAACCTCAGCCTGGGCACAGCACAGTGTGGTGACCCAGTGGCTAAAGTCCTTGCCTTGCACACGCCAGGACCCCATATGGGCGCCGGTTCACGTTCTGGCAATCCCACTTCCCATCCAGCTCCCTGCCTGTGGCCTGGGAAAGCAGTCGAGGACGGCGCAAAGCCTTGGGACCCTGCACCTGCATGGGAGACCCAGAAGCAGCCTCTGGCTTCAGATTGGCTCAGTTCTTGCTGTTGTAGCCACTTGGGGAGTAAATCAGTGGGTGGAAGATCTTCTAGGAACTCTGTTTCTCCCCCCTCTCTGTTTATCTGACTTTCCAAATAAAATCTTTAAAAGAAAAAGAAAGCTCCGCCTGTGCATCCCATGTGAACACCGGTTTGAGTCCCGGTTGCTCCACTTCCAATCCAGCTCCCTGTTCATGTACCTGGGAAAGCAGCAGCAGAAGATGGCTCAAGTGCTTGGACCCCCTGCCACCCACATGGGATACCCAGAAGAAGCTCCTGGCTTTTGGCTGGGTCCAACCCAGTTTATCCACTGTGCCCATTTAGGGAGTGAGTTAGCAGACAGAAGATCTCTTTTTCTCCTCTCTCTGTAACTCTACCTTTCAAATACGATAAAATATTTAAAGGAAGAAGAAGAAGAAAATGCCAGGAAACATTCAGTACAGACCAAAATTCTTCAGGGTTTTCAACTTTTGTTTTAGTTTTTGACTCCCAGAGGAGTGGGTCAAATTTATGGACACGGACCCGCGGCAGGAAGTGCTGGAAGGGCTCTGTCCCTTTTCTGCATGGTGATAGTCACCAGGGCTGGTTGGGAGAAGCCCCGAGCTGCCTCCTTGTCCCACCCTCCCCCAGACCCCCGACCCCAGTGGCTGACCTTCCTGGGACTGCGTGGAGCTGTTGAACATGTTAGCGTGGGCCTGCGCGGGCGCCACCTCGCGGGCGTTGATGACTTCGGCCTTCCCTGGATGGAGAAGCAATGGTTAGGTGGGAGAGCCAGCCCCAAGCCCCTTCCCCAGCAGGAGCCTTGGGATGAGGGGTGAGGGCCCACTCAGCTCACCGCCCCTCTCCCAGGCCCTGCCACTCACCCGTGCTGCTGTTGTAGATGGTGAAGAACAGGCCGCCCCCGATGCCCATGCTGTGGGGGTTCATGAGCCCCATACACAGCAGGGCTGCGATGGCCGCGTCCACGGCTGAGCCGCCTTCCTGGAGTATGTCCCTGCCGGTGGTATGTAGGGGGTGGGGTGAGACCCTCCAGGCCACCCCAGCTCCCCAGGAACACCTGTCACCCCTCTACCCACCCACCTCCCCAAAAGAGGACAGAAAGGCTTTCATTATTTTTCTTCTCAAGATGGATTTATTTTTACTTGGGGTTATGGCGTAACTGTGGTCTGCAGCTTTGGCATCCTGTTTGGGTGCATGTTCAAAGCCCGGCTGCTCTGTTTTTGAGCCAGCTCCCTGTTAATGTGCCTAAGAAAGCAGCAAAGGATAGGTCAAGTGCTTGGGCTCCTGTACCCATGTGGGAATCCTGGAAGAAGCTCCTGGCTTCTGGCTTTGATCTGGTCCAGCCCTAGCTGCTAGGGAGTAAGCCAGCAGATGGAAGATATCTGTGTGTGTGTGTGTGTGTGTGTGTGTGTGTGTGTGTGTGTGTGTGTGTGTGTTACTTTGCTTTTCAAACAAATGTTTAAAAACATTTTTAAGAGATTTACTTTGATGTATATAATTTTTTTTTAAATTCATGCATTTCCAGCCCCCCTCAACATGCATTTTTCATGCAAAGTCTTCTTGCACTCTCAGAATTGACAAAAGGGGTGGGTGGAGCCTAGTTGGTCCTTGCTCCCTTCTGCCCTGAGCAGCTGTTTCATGCCTGGAGCATTCTCCTCACCTAGGCAGCCTGTTAGAGCTGGGGAAACAGAGGCAGAGAGGGGCTGGGGTCTTGGCCGGGTCCGCATGTGTGACCTCCCCTAAGGACCCACATCCCCGGTCAGCCCCACTCACCTTCCAATCTCTGAGCAGCCGGCAGCATCGGCAGCCACAGCCGCCCTGGAGTACACATGGCTGCGCTTCCTGGAGGCGGAGGGCAGCAAGACGGCGAGGCAGACAATGACCACCACCAGCACCACGGCCAGCAGGCCCAGTACCACGAACCTCTTCTTCATCGTTCAGCACTTCCTAAGTGTCCCCCACCCCGCATCACCCCAGGACAGTCTGGTCAGACCTCAGAAAGACAAGTCCCCTGTCTCCTTCCAGCCCCTCAGACTCTAGGCCTGGACTTCTCTGACAGTTCCATCCCTGCCCTCCCAAGCTACCCCCTCTCCAGTAGGGACCCATCCCCAACCCCACCCGGCCCCACTCTAGCTTCCAGACTTCTCCTGCCCCTTCTTCTGCAGCTGCTGCTGGCCCACTTCGGAGCACGGCGCTCAGCATCCACCCACCCAAGCCACCATGGTAGGACTGATACTTACCGCCGGCAACAGACAATAGCCCAGACCTGGAGATATGGCGGAGAACTGGCTCACACCCTATACAAAGTAGTCACTTATTTTGTCTGAGATTGTTCCTGATCAAGCCTCCTTGTCCTGCTTCCAAAAAAAAAAAAAATTGTAAGAGTGGTCCTACAACAGGTCTAGCCCTCCCCATTCCCTGGAAGAGAGGGGGAGTGGACTTGGGGTGACCTTAGGGGTACAACAGGTATAGGGCGGCCAGGCACACACACGCCCCGCTGAGAACTCGCTCAACCCAGCCCAGGATTGGTGACAAGCAGAACAGGTGACCCAGCTGGGTTAAAGCCGTGGGGGTGAGGCATCCTCCTTGAGTCTACACTCACCTGCCTCCGGCCTCGGGCAGGATGCTTCTGGGTTCAGTTACAACCTCAGCGGTCTCACTTGCTGGGGGCTGTTTGGAAAATGAAGTGGATTAGCAGGTGCCAAGTACAAGAGATGGGTATAGTTAGGAACATGGCAGCACCTGACGGGGGAGCCTCCATTGCGTGCACATGGCAAGTGGGAGCAAGGACTCTCTTTCTCCGTCATTCCCCCAGCTTGAACCCAGAAGCTGCTAGCTCTGACCGGAGCGTCCGCCCAGCTGCTCCCTGGCTGCCCTCGCTCCAGCATCCCTCCCTCCGCAGCCCTCTGAAAAGCAGTCAAGAAGACTGTCTGGCCAAAGTACCATCGGGGGCCCTGCCCTTCTCGTTTTCCCAGACGTGGCCCACACCCTTTTCCCCAGGCTCTGACAGTTCTCTGGGCACATGGATGCCCTGGGCCAGGCAGACAAGCCTGGTCAGAGTTCAGGGTCCCTGGGAAGTCCATGGGGCCTTAAGAGATAGTCCAGCAACCTGTGGTCTCCAGACCAAACAAAAGATCCCAGCACCCAGGAAAAGTTGGGGGGCTGGGCCGGCTCGCTGTTCCCCTGTTTGGGACCCAAAAGTCACACTTTCATGGTCCCACTAGGCTGCTTTCCGGCTCCGGCTGAGTTTGAAGCCATCACTGTCCCACTGCTTAGAGCCATGCCCAAGGCGCCCCCTTATCTGTCTTTCAGTCCACCTCAGGACCCCAGGACCCCTCCCCCACTAAAAGGAGTCTAGGAATAGACAGTCTATGGATTGTGAAGAGCATAGGGGGCTATACTGGCCCCACCCCCTCCTCCCAGGCAGGCCCGGTCCCACCCCCTCCATCCAGGAATAGCAGCGGAAGACCCCCTGCTGGGGGCCCGGATTTCCAGTTCTCATCCCACCCCCAGTCCCTGTCCCATGCCTTCTCCAGTTTTCTCCAGTAAACTAGAGAGCAGGGGTTGCTGATCCCAATCAGTCGTAGAGGGGAAACTGAGGCAGGGCTTCCAACTTACCTGCCCCTTCTAGCGGCCCTGGTGGGCTGCGCTGAGGAGGTCCAGGGGAGCCCCTCAGCCGCTGGAGGCTGCAGGCCGTGTGAGAAAGTCACAGCCACAGATGTGGCTACCCGCTCGTCCCACTCCGGGGAGAAGCCACGCCTGTCGCCCCTGCTGAGGTCCTCGGGGAGGGGAGGAGGTGGTGGGGAGCCTGGAGATTGACACTAGGTAAGTGCACAAGACAGGCAAGGATCTAGACCTTACCTAGACCCAGAGCAGGCAGGCAGCCAGGCACACTGGGCACCCAGCATCCCCACGGGGCAGCCAGAGGTGTCTGAGTGGGGTGGGGTGGAACGGGGCGGGCGGTCCTCTCTCCAAGGTCCAGCCGGGCAGAGTCTGTGCAGCAGGCACAGTGACTTAGCTTTCTGCAGGTGACTAAAGGTCACACCACCCTGGGAGGGGCTTGAGCAGGAGGTGGGAGGTACTCAGAGCCCAGAGTGAAAATAAAAGGGGGGTTCCTGGCTCCCAGTCTCAGTTCCCTTAGAAGAGCAAGTATTTCCTAGCTGACCATTTGGAAAGCTCCACTGGGTGGTTCACCCCTGTCCTGTCTGGGCGTTGAGGGAGTGTAGAACCTCAGAACCACGATGACCCAGAGGTGCCTCTTCCTAGGGCTGTGGATGAGACACCCCCAGAGTGCACCAGCCCTGAACCTGAACTTGACAGGCCTCCCCACACCCTGACACTGCCACTGCCGCCGCCTTGGTCACAAAAGCCACGAAAAGCAGCGTCCCGGAAAGTGGCCTGGGGGAAGGTTCCATGCGTTCAGACCGGTTCTACTGCCCACCCAAAGGAACACTGCTGGCCCCAGGTCACATAGCTTGGCCACCCAGCACACATGTACACACACACACACACCCCTACACACACCCCACCTTCAAGAGGCTGCATGTCCCTACCCAGCCCACCACCACCAAGGAAGTGACAGCAGGGGGCACAGCCCGTGGAACCTTGGACAATGCTCCCCTTGCCCCCAGAGCCCTCATCCACCAAGAGCAAGGGTCAGTGACTTCCTGAGTCATTGCTCCCTCCCCCTCCCGGCTCCCAGCTGTGCCCAGAAGGGGGTGAGCTCCCTGTCCCCAGGAATGTGCAAGCCTCACTCACCCAGAGACGCTGACTCGGCTGGCAGTATCACCACCCCCTCCCAACACAATCCCAGGACGCGGCAGAGGGACACACACACACACACACACACACAAAGGCATACACACACGCGGGCAGAAGTTTCCTGCTAATCCTCCAGGCGGCTGTGTCATCGCCACAGGGGGAAGCCAGGGCACGTCCCCAGGCCCCGGAAGACAGCAGACTTAGGCCACCACAACTTGCCCAAGGTCAGCTGACCTGAGCAGTGGATGGGAAGTGGGGAGATGGGGTCAGGCTACTTGCCACTCCTCCCCCACCCCTGCCACAGCCCCTCCTGCCTGCACATGGAGAACATAGAATCTGTGTCCCTCGTGGCCTGTCCCATGCCCAGAATTAGGACAAACACCTGCTCCTAAGAGTTGATGACTGACGGCTTATGCACAGAACTTATTGGCGAAGCTACCTGTGTCTCCCTCAACTATTCCCTTCCCCGGCCACCTCTTCATGACCTCAAGGTGGTGGACGACCCTAAAGTTGGACAAAATCGCCCAATTGCCACAGCCCTAGCCACAACCAGGGCCCCCAGAGAAGGACCCAAGACTCCCTGGGAGGCTCAGGCCCCACCCTAAAGCTGACCACCCACCCCACCCCACAGCTCCTTGGTAGGTGGCAGGTATGGGGGAGCAGGGCTATGCTCCTCTCTCTTCTTTGCAAACCCACTTCTTCTCCAGGAGCCAGGTTTCCTGGGAGAAAATTAAGGGCAGCACTCTATTGCCGCCTCTTCAACACACGTATCCCAGGCCCTGGATCAGAAAGAAAACAGAGCCCCGAAGTTGTCAGACACCCACACACGTCCTGGGGCCCTGCCTACCTGTGCAATCTTTTCAGGAGGCATCCACCCCCGGGCTCACTCCCTTCGCCCTAATGCGCAGCTCACACGCATAGCACAGGTGCGTTAAGTTGAGGGACGCCTCCAGAGCGGGACCAGCACAGGGACCAGGGACCAGCACGGGGCAGAGCAGAAGGCGGTGGCACTCACGACTCCCCACTCCCACCTTAGAAAGTCCCCGAGGCTGAGCTCCTCCACCTGTAGCGTTGAGCAGCTCAGAGAGGCTAAGTGTTTTGGGGGGGGGGGGTCACACAGCCAGCCGCTCTCCCCACGCCCCTTTCCCAGCCTGGCTTCTGGGTCTCACACTCCATCCCCAGCTGTGACCCTGCTCCTTCTGCTCCCTCTGCTGGCCCAGCGGGGAGGAGGTTTTAAAGCTGCAGGAGCTAGTCCAAGTCCTCTGCCTGGGGCTGGGTGATCTGATGGGGCCCAGACCTTTGAATGCCAGCTTTAAGGAGGGCCTGGTTGGGATTTGAAAGATAATGATTTATTGCCAGTGTCCTAGATGCTCTGCTTTCCCTGTGGCTCCCAGCTACTGCACCTGGGAAAAGAGTGCAAGATGCTCCCAGCCACACACTTCCCCCAGGCTCCACCCCCAAGAGGAAGCCCCAGACAGAGTTCAGGGTGCCTGACTTTAGACAGCACCAGCTCTAGCCATAGGGGCCCCTTGGGGTGTGTGTCTCCCTTCTCTGTCACTTTACCTTTGAAATAAACAAACATTGAGAAAAAAAAAAAAAAAAAGAGGCTGGGTTTCATCCAAAAGAAGACCCAGGAACAACGATCCCTGGATACCCCTTCCCCAAACAAGAAGGGAGTCCAGCGGCTGTCACCCCAAAGACTCTGGTCACCTGGACACCAACCATCCAGAAAGAGGTGCCCATGGCCTTGGCAATGGAACCTCCATAGCAGGACTTGGAACGTGGGGATGTTCTGGGCAAAGGCACCACTATAGGAACCACCGTGAGTTGAGCAGTCGAAGGGGGTTGGGGGGCACACCTTTTGACCTCCCTCCTCCCGCCAGGAAGTCCTTTCTTGAGTTCCAAGGTGTCAAAGTTGGAAAAGGAGGTGGCCGAGAGTCCAGAGCTCGAAGGCCACCGGGTCAGCCTGGACTTTGAGAGCCCATGGGAGGCTGGTGAATATGTCACCACGCTGGGTAACCTATTAACCCAGGCTCACTCATTAAGACCCTAGTAGGTGCCCGTTACCTACTCCTGGGCCAACTCTGGGGCCACGGGGGCCAAAGTGGGTACAGGTGGTGCTGGTTTCTTTGAGGCGGTTTCCTGGGCTAGCCCAGCCCTGGCACCAGCATCTCTGAATGCCCTTGGTGGAGGGCAGGGGGAAGTGACCAGACAGGAGGCTCACGGGGCTGGTCAAAGTATGTGTGGGGGAGAGCAGTGCAGCCCCCAGTCTTCACAACAACCTGGGGGCCACCCCATCTCTGTACCCTAGGGAAACACAGGAACTCGTGGGGCAAGAGGGGTGCTTCTGACGCAGGAAATTGCAACCTTAGAAAGGAAGGAAAACTGCCTAGAAGTCCCCTTCCCAGTGACCCACAGTCCAAGGAAAGCCATGCAAACCACTTCCTGCCACGGGCATCTCTCATTGCGGTCTCGGCTCACGCCCCACCCCAAGCCTAGGCAAGCCTCAGGTGCCTGGGTTGGGCCACCGCAGGGATCACAGGACACCTTGAACATGTCATAAGCTTTCCTGTGATGGAGCCAGGTTGGGGGAGCAGAGGAGAAGGCTCAGGGCTACTGGGGCAGAATGCTGTGTGGTATGCCCAGGATATACTTGGTCAACTAGATGAGTAACATATTGAACCCAAGCACTGGGGCATCTTGGGACCAACTTGTAGAATCACACAGACTCTTCCTTATTCGCACAGCCCACAAAGCCTGGCTTACACACTTGTCCCTGACAGGAAGCTCATGAGCTGTACCACCCAACACCAAGCCTCTTTTCCTTCTGTGTGGCTGGGCCTGACCCTGAGCGTCACCCGGCTGGCTACACAAGGCAGGGGGCAGGGAGGCAGGGGTCACCCACACCTTTTTGAGCTACCAGGTTGCAGGTGGTCAGGTCATATTGAGGAGATGCAAGGAAAATGCCAGGTCCATACAGAGGGGCTCTGAGGCCCAGGGCTGGTAGGGAGGGAAGCCCTGAGCTTCCTCCAAGCTCGCTAAGAGGCTGGCCAGCACCCCTGTGGCGTGTACTGCCCTCACGATGCCAACACACACACACACACACACACACACACACGCTCCCCTTCTATGGGAGGGTAGAGGCTGGAGCCAGACCAAATGCGTGGGCCTCCAGAACAATCTTCTCTCGTTAAGGCCTGGGGGCAGCATCCAACACCGCCCCCACCCCACCACCCCAGCCTGGCAGTTCCAGGGTCCAACTTCCAACCTTGGAAACTTCAAGTCCTGGGTTTAAATACAACCACAGGCGCTGAAGGGCCCAGGGCTAGGGGCAGCTTCCCTTTGCAGGCAAGTACCAGTGAACTGAAACCAGAGGAAGGCTACCTCCCCCACATACCCCCCACAGTTGGCAGGAAGCACCACCACCGGGGACGAGCCAGTTCTGGGGTCTACCTGCTTTGTCCTGGCTTGATGTAGAACTCGAGGTGCCCCCTTCCTGATCGCACAACCCCCATCCCTCACCCTCCTGGCTTTATACTACTCTCCCAGCAGGGTATTTATTCCATCACCCGGTAATTATCCGCAGTGTCTGGGGCAGGCTCCGGGACTTGGGGGTGGGGTAAGGGCCTGGAGGGGAAAGCCACCTATATCAGCCCCAGATCCAGACCCCATCACATGGCCTGATGTCTTACGGGGAGGCGGTTGGGGTGGGGGGCAAACACATCAAGCCTTCCTGGCACCCACCACCGTCACCGCTGCCCCGTTACCAAGTGATCCCATGGCTGCCCCCAAATGCCCTTTTCCCCCACTTTCATGCACACCGTCCAGATTCACTCACCCGTTCTCACACACCAGGACTCCCCAACTTGTATCACAGAGGGGCCTGCCGGGCTGACTGACTTCTTTCTGGCTTCCAAGTCCGAGTCTGAATCCTCACTTGGCTGGTGTTTTCAGATGCCCCAAGTTGGACAAGCCCAGACGTGAGCTAAACCCCTGCCCACCACACCCCATCCCACTCCACCCCACCTCACCCCCCCCTTTGACCTCTGCTGGCCATGTTAGCCAGCACCTGGCCTCAGGAGGCCCCAGTCTACAACTGCACTTTTCTTTTCCACTTGCTCTCACCTCTGCCCCCTTACCCCACCTCTTCCAGCTCCTGGCTGCACCTGAACCCCTGCATCCCCCATCCCGACCCTGACCCACCTCACAGGCCAATCGCTTCACCTGCTGGCTGGCAGTGAGAGGTCTCGGCCTCCTTGAGCCCAGTGCGCAAAAGCAAATCCAAGCCTGACCCTCCTCCTCCCCTGTTTCAAAGGTCCCCTTTGCCCGGGGGGGATAAATTCTTGCCTTGTCCAAGCCCGCCCCTTGCTCTGAGCCCAGTGCTCTGGCCTGGAGTGTGCTGTGGAATTTTGCTTTGACCCAAAGCAAGCGCTTCCTTCAGTCCTCCTGGCTCATGGTCACTTCCTCCCTTGCCCTCACCCCAACTCCCCCCCACCCTATTTTACCCACACACTTACACCAACTCAGACTTACAGCCATCCAGTGCCGCTGGGTGCAGGGGTGTGGTAGGGGTGAGCTGTCTCCCTGTTGCATCCTCCGACAACCTCTGTCATACGGACATTTCATCCAACCCCTCCATTTTCTAAACCAAGAGACAGAGGTTTGCAGAGCCATCCCCCGCCCCCTCTCCCCTGCCCACCCTTCCGTACTGGGCACTGGGTGGAAGGGCATGCGCCTCCCTCAGAATCCCTATCCACCTGGAAGCTCCGAACGTGACCTTATTTGGAGAGAGTCTTGATGAGGTCAGACTGGATGAAGGCAGACGCTAAAGCCAAGGAAGGAGCCAGGGTCCTTACAAGAAGGTCATGGGAAGGGCCACCTCCCAGCTCAACAGGCTAATCCTCCACCTTCAAGTACCAGTATCCCATAAGGATGCCGGTTCATGTCCCACCTGCTCCACTTCTGATCCAGCTCTGTCTCTGGCCTGGGAAAGCAGTAGAGGACGGCTAGGCTTGTACCCGCTCTCTTGGCTGCCTCCCTCCTGTGATGCCCTGCTCCACCTCCACCCTGTCCCCAGGGTGTGTGTGGGGGGTAATATCCACCTGCCTCACTCCTCCCAGCAAACACAGCAGTTTTGTTTTGCTTTTTTTTTCAGTGATTACTAGGAGGCTCGGGGGCACCTCACTGCCTGCAGAGAGAAAACCCAGTGGGTGTCCCTGGTCCTGGTCCTAAGGCAGGACTGGGTGGGTAGAAAAGGTGGCCGAAGGTAGGGTAGGTTTAGTTCCTGCCCATGCTTCTGGGTCGTGTGGACCTAGCTCCCCAGCTGGAATGATCTTGGTGGCCAATGGCTGGGCACACTATAAGTGTGGCTGTCACCTATAGCAGACATCTGGGAAGTCCTACTTGGCATGAGGATGCTTCATAACGTCAGCAAAAAAATATATAATTAAAAGAAATTAATTTTGGCTGCAAACAAACAAACACACACACACACACACACACACACAAACTCTGAGGGCCCGGCACAGAAGCCTAGTTGTTAAAGTCCTCATCTTGCACTCACTGGGATCTCATATGGGCACCGGTTCTAATCTTGGCAGCTCCACTTCCCATCCATTTCCCTGCTTGTGGCCTGGGAAAGCAGTCAAGGATCACCTGAAGTCTTGGGACCCTGCACCCGTGTAGGAGACCCAGAAGAGCTCCTGGCTCCTGGCTTTGGATCGGTGCAGCACTGGCCATTGCACTCACTTGGGGAGTGAATCATCAGACAGAAGATCTTCCTCTCTGTCCTCTCCTCCTTTCTGTATATCTGCCTTTCCAATAAAAAAAATCTTTTAAAAAACTATTTATTTTATTTATTTATTTTTTATTGCAAAGTCAGATACATAGAGAAGGAGAGACAGGGAGGAAGATCTTCCGTGCGATGATTCACTCCCCAAGTGACCACAACAGTCAGTGCTGCGCCAATCCGAAGCCAGGAGCCACGAGCTCTTCTGGGTTTCCTATGCGGGTGCAGGGTCCCAAGAGTTTGGGCCGCACTCAACTGCCTTCCCAAGCCACAAGCAGGGAGCTGGATGGGAAGTGATGTCACCAAGACCCCATATGGGATCCCAGTGGTGCGTTCAAAGCGAGGACTACTCTATCGCGCTGGGCCCAGCTGAGCAGTTTTAACCATTTGGAAAGTGGAACAGTAGATGTTAAAAAAAATTTTTTTTTCTCTCAATCTCTCCTTTTTTTCAGTAATTTGAAAGGCATAGTGGCAGAGAGATCTCCCATTCACTGAATGATTGCAATGGCTCAAGCTGAGCCGGTCCAAAGTCAGGTGCTCAAAACTTCATTCGGATCGCAAATGTGAGTGCAGGTGCCCATGCGCTTGGACCATCTGCTGCTTTCCCAGGTTCCTCAGCAGGGAGCTGGATTGGAAGTGGAGCAACCAAAACAAACCGGTACCCGTATGGGATGCTGGTGTGGCAGGCAGTGACTTCACCTGCTACGTCACAGTGAAGGCCCCCCCAATAAGTTAAAAAGTGTCCACTAAACTTTTGAGCATCTCAACTGGTCCCTGATCAGGGCTTGGGGTCTGGTTTTTTTCTTGTCTATGGGATCTCTGCTCCCCACACCTCCACCCCAACTTTCTTATCTCACTGGCTCCCTGAGGGACCCAGCATAAGCCCCTCAACTGGAACAGCAGTCCTGGGGGGACTGTGAGGGCGGCACGGCTGTCCCTTGTAAGCTGCTGCCAAGGACAATTCCAGGGAGGCGGCCAGCAACCTTCAGTTAAATACACGGCAGTGAAGAAGACAAGTTATTCCCACTCTCCCCCTTACCCCTTCCCCCCGCTGCCTCCCCAAGGAACAGCTCTAACTATTGGGGATTCATATGTACATCAAGCCGGGCTAGAAACAGTCCCTAAGAACCAGCTCATCCCAGGCCCTCCCCACAGCAGGCAGAGGGAGGTCCATCCAGGGATAGGTGCTCAGACACACACACACACTCTCCCTCCTTTCCTGGAAAAATTTCCTCTCAGACTGGGACACAGAAGGGATTGGGAGAGTCATGGAGCTGGGGGGAGCATTCATTCTCAGCTTTGCACTGGGGTCAAAGCCCTGGGCATACACACCCCATGCCCCTCACTGTCCATACTGTTCCTGGACACCCCGGCTCAGCTCTCCTTCACCCCCATTTCCTCTCATCCATCTTGCACTGTCCAGGCCTCTGGGCTCAGCCTCTGGAAAGATGCAGATCTGGGAGCTACCCAGGGGAAGATGACAGGGGTCCAGAGGGGGAGAGGGCTTACCCGGCTGCCTGAGGCTCGGCTCTGGGCAGAGAAGGGGGTCAGAGAAGTCCCTGGGGGCTACAGCTTAGGGCTCAGTCGGTTCAGCCACAGAGCCTTGGCCCAGCGGGTCATTCAGATTGCCAGGGAGGAAACCTGCGGTGCCAAGGTGGCCCCAGGACAACCCTGACTGTAAAAGAAGGGGGAAAGAGAGGGAGGAGTCTGACAGGTGCCAGGAAGGAAGAAGTTCCTTGGTTAGACGGAACTGAGGTTACACAGACCTGAGGGGGTGGGGAGGGAGGAGAGGCAGGAAATCAGTGGTCAGTGGGGACCCCCACCCCCGCAGTGGCGGGGGCTAACCTCAGGAAGTGGAACCTGCCATCCCTTTGCTATGTGCTCATCCACCATGCTGGCCCAACCGGGACCCCAGCCTTGCACAGTGCCCTGCCCCCTGGGACTGAGGACCAGAGCCCAGCGACCCCTCCCCTAAACCCTCCCCACATAACACACACTTCACCGGAGGGTCCCAGAGTTGGGTGAGGGTGGGGGTATTTGCACAGGGAGCTCCATGTGCTGGGGACAGCTCTCAAGCAGGTCCCTGGCTCCAGCCTGGTCCCGCTGGCTTGCCACGTCTGCACCTCTGCCCACTTGCCAAGCAGGAAGACTGGAGACAGCCCCACCCATTTCAAGGTGAATAGCCGCGCCCACTCGGTCTCCCAGGCCGGCGCCACGGGGGGCTGGCTCCACCCAACCAAGCAGGGAGTGACCCTAAATAATGGTTTTGCAGAAGTGGCCCTGAAGGGATCAGATATGGATGAATCTGCTAGCCACGGATTCCTCAAAGCCTGGGGGTGGGGGTGGGATGATAGTACACGTGCCTGGGCCAGACCCGACCGGGCTCCGGAGTCGGGTCGGATGCTGTGAGCTCCACCCTCCACCCCCTCATCCAGCCACACCGAGGTTGTCGCCACGTGGGCGCTCAGGGTGGGACGCTGCCCGCTGGACACATCCCCAGGTCGGGGCGGGGCGCAGGCAGACCAGCCTCCAACCCGCCGCCACAGAGGCTATGGGAGTGCAGCTGAGCTGGCGCGCTGGGTCCGAGGCGGACTCGGAGGCCAGGGCGCTCGAGCCCGCGCCGGGTGCACAGGCTCCCCGAGATCCAGGCCACGCTCTCCGAGCTGATGACAGAGGGAGCCCGGCAGCCGCTGGGCAGCTGCGCCTCCTGCGCTAGGCGAGCGAGGCAAGGAGCGGTGCCACGAGCAAACCCGACTGGTGGCCGGAGGACCGGAGAGGGAGGAACCCGGGCTGGGTGGGGAACCTGGGACTCCCATGAGGGAGACAGAGGAGGCCTCTGTCTAGACGAGGGGGTCCTGCCAGTGTGTCCTGAGCTCTGGGTCTTGAAGCTGCTGGTGTGTGCTGAGGGCGCCCCCACCCGAAGCCTGGCGCTAAGAGCCCCGATTCAGAGAGAGGAGATTCCTGGATGTGTTTTTTGGTTTTTTGTTTTGTTTTGTTTTGTTTTTTTTCCGGGAGAACTAGATGTGTGGGAGGAACCGGACCATCTTGTATTGGCCCACAATGGCGGGGAGCGGGGAGGATGGCAGGAAAGCGTGGCAGACAACAGGTCAGCTCCCTGTTCCTTTGGGAGGGAGGGAGACAGAGAGAGAGGCAGGCACAGGTTTGCAAGTTGGATCTGCAGGTGCACTCCTGCCAGGGAACCATGGACGCAGCCTGGAAAGGGCCATGGCACCTGTCGCCTGTTCTCTTAACTTTTCACAGGGTACAAAATGTGGGCGAGGAGTTTGGGTGGGCATGTACCCTGAGTGAAGTTAAGAGGACAAGCAACACCACAGCACACACTGGGCTGGCTGGGAACTCTGCGTTGCAGTAGGAGGCATTTCCAGGATCACCAGTGTCACTTCAGGGCAAAGCACTTTTCCACTTTAACCCCATCCCCGACCCCTTCAGCAACAGCTGCCCAGCTGCCTCCCTTCCCCTCCATCCTGTGAACTGAAATTAATCAAGTTTGGCCTGCAGAATGTCTTGATTAGAGACGGGAGTGGAGGGTGAGGGAAGAGGGAGGAGACAGGTCCCAGAGAGGAACGTGGGGTGATGGGGCAGGCAGTCATGGCCAGAGCCTGGCACTTCTCCCATGCCCCCCAACAGCCACTGCTCCTGCTCCACTTTTTTTTGCTCCTGGCTCACCTGGCTGGAAAGGTGGAGCTGGCCCTTTAAGAGGAGCTGTCCAGGCCAGCTGAAGATGGTAGAGTGTGGTCCGGGTCTGGGGCCCTGTCTGGATCTACCCAGGCTCCTCCCTTACCCACCCCCCCAGCTGGGTCCTCCCTAGCTGGCATCTGTGACCTGAACCATGTTGAAAAAAGCAAACAGCAGAACAGCCTGAATCAGCCAGATGCATAGCATGGGCTATCTCCAGACACATAGCATGGGCTATCTCCAGAAAGTGCCCGGAGCCCAAGGCCCTGCTCTGGGCATTCTCTGGGAGACAAGAGACCAGATGAGTCAGCCTCTCTGGGTCCCAGAGGTTGGGATGTGAGGCCCAGTGAGGGTGTGTGTGTGTGTGTGTGTGTGTGTGTGTGTGTGTGTTGGGGGGTAGGGCGGAGGTCTATCCTGGCCTATAACCCTACAGGAAGCCTGCCTGGCCAGGTCTGCCAGTGCCCAGGTGCCCAGTGGGAAATAGGCATCTGGTGAAGCGGCAAAGGCAGTGAGGCCAGGGTGCTGGCCAGGCGTGGGAAGGGCTGAAACTCCACACAGTCTGTGTGTCGAGTCTCTTGGCTACCAGTCAAGGTCAAGCTGGAGGGGACAGGGTCAGGATTGGGACATTTGTTTCTTGGAGTTGACTTGGGCAGCCCTGCCTGCGGCGGGCTTGAGGAGAGTGGAGGGTCCAGGGGCTACCTAGAGGTGGCTGCTGCAGGTGAGGCAGGGGCAATGGGGAGAGGAAGAAGGGGATGGTCTGGGGAGGGGAGACAGGGGGACGTAGGGGTGCTGGGTGACTTCCGGAAGTGCCCCACACTGAGTTGGAGCTGCCTTTGGGACAGTAAGCTGGGAGAGGTCTGTCCAACAGGCTACAGCTCCAGTGACATCAGCCATGCCCCCCCACAAAATGCAACCCCCCCAACAAATACCAAACCCAGCAATAAAGCCTTCAGCAGGACACCTCACCTCTTTCTACCCCTTTCCACCCCTGGGGGGGCGCCGTCCTTCTCCTCACCTATGGAGTCTACCTGCCGCCTGGACAGTTGACCCATCCCCATCCAATGAGAGGGCACTCCAGCAAGCCCTGGGGAGGGAGGACAACTGGGTGAGGCGGGAAGGGCACCCTCAATTTTCTTCTCTGCCTGCAGGATCTGGAACCTGAGGGGACCATTCATTGACATCTTCTAAGGGAACGCAACCCTCTTGAACTTAGGGAAGCCCATCTCCTGTGGCCTGCTGGCCCACCTGGCTAGGGCCCTGCAGTGCCCCCAGAGAAAGCGAGCTCAGTCGAAGCTTGGAGAAGGAGCAGAAGAAGAGCATGCTGACCTGGCTCTCGTTCCTCCTACAACCTGGGGTTGGCGGCAGTTGGAGCAGGACTCCCTCGAGGGGCTTGGTCTGGCCTCCCCCCTGCAGCAAGTCTCTGGTGGCAGGGAGGGGGGGGGGCAGTGTGGAGAGTGGGCGGGCAGCTGATAGCCCGAGACGCTGGCCCAGAGTCCCAGAGGCCAGGGAACAAGGGCCCCATTGTCTTGGCTTCCTCCCGCCCCGGGCACACTGGGCACCGCTGGGCCTGGGACCAGTCTGTCCAGCTCCCAGGCAGCAGCCTCTCGTGGCTTGGTGCCAATTCCCGGCCACCCGGGAGGCAGGGGAGGGGGAGGCCCTGGTGACAGCTTCAATGAGTTCAGTGCACATTCACACTCGGAGCCCAGCTCCTTCTTCCCAAAGTTCCCAGACGGGACTGGATGGCGGACTCAGCAGCTTGGGCTCATACGTACCCGCTGCCCCCTCTTCCTTCTGCCCAGCCCCCACAAGACCGTGAACTCTGCTAGCAGCTCATCTACCACCTCCCCCCAAGTGCCAGCGAGGGGCAACCTGGCCCAGAGGAGGATGAACACAGTGGTAAGCAGAGGCCAGCCACCGCCCCTTTTTGGACTCCTGTCACCACAGCCTGGTGCGGATGCTGGAGGGGTCCTCATGGCACAAGGGACAGGGTGGGCAGTGGCACAGTCTGACTTTTTATTATTATTATTATTATTATTGAAAAGGCAGCCAGAGAGGAGGAGAGACAGAGAGAAGAACTTCCGTCCGGGCCCGACGGCGTGACCTAGCGGCTGAGGTCCTTGCCTTGAACACGCCAGGATCCCATATGGACGCTGGTTCTAATCCCGGCAGCTCCACTTCCCATCCAGCTCCCTGCTTGTGGCCTGGGAAGGCTGTCGAGGACGGCCCAAAGCCTTGGGATCCTGAACCCGTGTGGGATACCCGGAAGAAGTTCCTGGATCCTATCTTTGGATTGGCATAGCATCAGCCGTTGCGCTCACTTGGGGAGTGAATCATCGGACGGAAGATCTTCCTGTCTCTCCTCCTCTCTGTATATCTGCCTTTCCAATGAATAAATAAATCTTAAAAAAAAAAAAAAAAAGAACATCCATCCAATGATTCACTCCCCTAGTGACCGCAACGGCTGGAAGCCAAGCCAATCGGAAGTTCTCCCAATCTCCCACGTGGGTGCAGGGAACCGGATGGGAAGCGGGGCCACCGAGATTAGAACCGGCATCCATATGGGATCCCAGCACGATCAAGGTGAGGATTTTAGCCACTAGGCTATGGCACCAGGCCCACAATTTGACTTATGATTCCTATTTTACAAAGAGGGACAAAGTGAGGCTGTCCAAGGCCACACCCAGTCCCTATTTCCTGCATCCGAGCTGGGCCACCTAGCTGGCTCTGCTGCAGGTCCCCTGGGCTGTCACTTCGTCACAGCCTTCACGACACAGACTCAGCTTGGGGGTGAACCCAGCCTATCATTTTCCCTCTTTATCCCTTACCCACCCCATCTTGAGCCTGGTGGCCCACCCTGCCCTGGGAGCCCACGGGATGCTCCGCTTTGCTCCAGCTTCTGGGCTACATTCAAATGACAAGTGAGAGACAGAGCTAGAGGGGTGTTGCGGAGAACATGGGATC